CCACAAGCCTTTAAATCTGATGTTAAATATACGCGATTTTGCAGCCGGATTTTAGCTGTTTCCTAACACACGCATACGCAAACATTGTATAACACAGCACACGAAAATTATCTGTGTGCCACGAAATTGCTAAAGGATCTAACAAAGGTGAAGAAATTATGAAAATATAACTGCGTACACAGCTTGATGATGTCTACAAGTTGAATTAAGTTAAATTTAAGAGTAATGGTATTACTTCAACAGACATTACTTTGACAATATAGATTGGGACAATATAGTTTTCACATGTATTCGGTTGTAATATAACATTTCCTGATACATATTTTCCACACCCTACCCCCACCTGTTGCAATGTTGGCCCTGTGCATCCAGACAGCTGTCGCATAGTTTCTGGCAAAGATTGTAAATATTTCAATCTGCAGCAGATCTGGTGTAAAAATTAACACAATGCTCTTGTCTGAGCAAAGATCCGGATGTACGAACGAAAAGTTTAAAAAAGAGTGTTCTTTGCATTTCAAATTTTCTATAAACATTTTTGCGACAAAATGATAACAATTTCTTATCTTGGTATAATCAAATAAAAACCGAGCATTTAATGCAGTTTCACTTTACGTCCCTGAAAAAGCCATTCAATAATGGCAGCACGAGCAATCGAGCATTTCATTCTTACATTTCATTGTAAGCTATGAATTAAGGTGTTTTTATTGTACAGATACAAAACTTTTAGACACAATCTACAGTGGAATAGTATAAGCTATCTATGGCCATATAAAATAAATTCCTTGATTCTCATCACCGCCCGACGATATTTTGGTTTCCACGTTGATATATTTTTGTATTTTGTTATAAAATATAAATTTACCGCCTGACCGACCATCTTCAGAGATTTAGTTATTTTTATATTTTATATTGGAATTTTTGCGATATAAAATTGTTTTATCGTTAATATTGCAAAATGTTAAGGGATGCTTGGAATACTGAAGGAAAAAATGGGCTTATAGCCTTATTGCAACGATTTGTGTGGACCCTTATGCATGTTCATTAGCGTATGTGCAATTATCCACTTATATAGCGTTCTTCTATAATATATTTAAGGGCAAATATAAAAAGACCTCCCTCTCCATATATTTTGACATAAAATATAAACCTCCCGCCTCCTGGGAGTTTTTAAAATTTAGCGATGAGAATCAAGGAATTTATTTTATATGGCCTATAATAACTTACCATAGCCCAACATTTGTATTTTGCAGATGGGCATGTAATAAACAGGCACATAAATGATAAAACCATTAATAATTCCTATATTTTTCAAAAAATTGTTCTGGTTTGATTGTTCATATACTGTTACCCGCAGTAAACCTTTCGCTCAAGATTTTATTAAACTTTAGTGTAATGGCTCTTCTTAAAACGTTTATTTTATCATTGTGTATTACAATGTTTCTTCCCAATTATAGATAACATATTTTTATATTTTTAAGGGCAATTTAAAATTTCTTACAAGACACGAAAAGACTGTGAAAGGAGAGTAGGGGAGCAAAAAACAAAGAGCACATCAGTGTCTGTAAAGCTCAGAGAAGAGTGAATGCTGTAAGTTTTATATACAGGGAACGTCATTTCCTCAAATTCATTTATCAAAATATTCACCTCAATTTTTGGTTACTATTAAATGATTGGTTGAGGACGATAACTGTTTATGTACTAAGATGTTGAGATTGGAAATTAAAAACTTTGAGATGCAATCACTAGTCATAATTATAAGACTTATTCTTTCATACAAAAATACAAGATTTCGAAAATGCCTTAAATAAAGGTCAGTGTATGCATATACTTCTATGAAACCCTTAAGATTAGTATTGGTCGGTAATTGGTTTCACTGACGCATATTTAAAACTGTAATAATTTGCCATTTTAGAAACTAGAAAGAAGATTGGCTGCGTTCAAATCTTTAAAGCCAACACTGACAGAAAAGAATGTATAGCGGATGGAAGAGGTTTTATGCAAGGAATATATGTCAAGTGAGGAAAGGGAATATGAAGAGGTACTGGGAGATGATGGAGCAAGAACACAGAAAAAGAAAGGTTTTAAAGTGAGGGAACTTCTTTGGGAGAGGACGAAATTAACAAACATCAAGAAACTGTTGGATGATGAACATAAGAAAACCTTAACTGCTCATGCTCTTAGCATGATGTTGCCAAGAACAGCCGGTCGTTTGTCCGAGAGACCACGACCAAAAAATGCCCCAACATACATGGGCTGTCCGATGTGAAAATGAGCTACCTCAATAGTAAATAAGATTCAGTGTAATTTATGTAAATTGTTATATATTTAATAGTTTTCTTTATAAATAGTGTTTTAGTAGTTTTGGAATTGTATAATAAAAAATCTTTTAAAGCTATAAGCAGTTTGTCTTCATTTTGCGGCTGCAAATAAGTCCAAAAGTGGAAAAACCAACCATGAATGAATGCCCTATATCAATGAATGTAAAGCTTTGTTGTGGTTGAATGAAATATGTGGTAACCATTTTAGGAATTTATTCAAAATGATGGAAGAATGATTAGTTTGCTCAAAACAAATTTCTCAATTATGGTACAGGCGGGCAGTCTCGTGGAGTAATAAATGGTTTCACAAGTTTAAACATATTATACAAGTTTAGCTTAAATTTGTGGTTTAAATGAAAATTAAAGTTTCCGCTAGTGTATGTTTAAGCAAGCTTAATGTTGTGTTTAAAATTGTTCTTAAAACCAGTTTAAATCTGTTAACCTTAAGCTGTGTTTAAGCTGTTCTTAAATTATCTTAAACCCTGTTTTAAACGTCTATGTTTAAGCTGGCATTGAGTCGATTTAAACCTGCTTTAAATTTTCAATTTCGTCCTGTGTTGGAATTTTGATATTATAATTGATGAGAAACGGAGCTTTAAAAAATTCCATCACTACCGGCATCAAAAGGTTTTAAGAGCAACTGTCCAAAAATATCGAGCATTGGGTGGCCACAGTCAAAATATAAAATTCCTTCATTTTTGGTTTGGTGTTAGTATTGTGTGAGTTTATAAATGTACTGGAGTCAGTTTTTCAACTTACGCAAAAAATCGGGATTTTTTTGAGAAAAGAGATTTTACCCTGTTTTGGTCTAAAAATAGCCCAGACGACGGCCAACAATAACACTTCAATAAGCATTTTCGTTTGATAAAAGAGCCCCGGTTACAAGCTATTTCCCACTCAATTCCGAGAGAACAGGTATTAAAGAGTTGTTACTGGTGATTTTTGCATTATTAGCCCGAGTTTATACGGAAAAATTGTTATTCTCTTAACATAGTTTTTCAAAATCTCGTCAATAGTGTATTTACCTCACATATATAAATGCGATTTTTTGCATGTGGCCATTCTCCAATTTCCATGAAAATCAGGTAGTACAACCTGTACATGACAAACTAAGAGCAACTGCAAACATTTGTTTGGGTTTTTGCATAGTCCCAATGAAATCTGCAACTGAAGTTGGAGAAATTCGCAACGAAAAGTATGTTAATTACAAGTTTGTTTACATCACTGGGCAATGGCTTGCTGCCAAAAAATCATTAACATTTTTCCCAGCTTATTAATTCACACGGTTAGTTTGATCTAAAGCATGACATGATATCCCTTTAAGAATATTAAGTAATTACCCATTTAAATTAGACATTTCTGGTGTTATTTGCCCTGGTTCCAGAGGTTTATTTTCATTTTATATAATATTACCTTCGCCATTTCTAATATTACTTACAATGAAATTTTATAATAAATCTCTGGAACCAGGGTTATTTAGTACAAATGATTATTAATATGTTTAAGGATGTTGCATTTAAAATTTTGTTATAGACTGATGCATGAAAATAGTGGCGCCAGCGACTCAGCAGTCCTTTTAATGCACCAGAACGACAACATAGTTTTTCAAAATCTCGTTAATACTAATAGTGCATTTACCTCACATATATAAATGCGATTTTTTGCATGTGGCCATTCTCCAATTTCCATGAAAATCAGGTAGTACAACCTGTACACGACAAACTAAGAGCGACTGCAAACATTTGTTTGGGTTTTTCCACAGTCGCAATGAAATCTGCAACTGAAGTTGGAGAAATTCGCAATGAAAGTATGTGTTAATTACATGTTTGTTTACATCACCGGGCAATGGCTTGCCGTACTGCATATAATACTGAAATCTATATTTTTGTTATGAATAATATCTCGTGCAGTTAGGAGAGATTATATAGGAAATAAAAACGGAAGTGGTGTCACTGGTGTGTGGTGTGTGACCACAAGAAATGTCCAGGGATTTTGAAATTCGTTCTCAATTAATCGTCTCTAGCTCACTCTCTGTCTAGAAATTTGTTATTGTCGATTTCAACGTGCGCCTCCTCTGTTCGTCATGAAAATCCCAATTATTTAGACAAGTTCAAATTTTTAAATGCTCAATTTTTAAATGTTCAAACTTTGCAACACACTTTGCAAGGTCATTTTTGCTCTCATAAACAATCACAGAGAGAGGTGAGGCAGAAGTATTCCTACCCATTTCTCAGTCCGAATTTGCTTAAAACTTTACATTTGTCTAACATAGGTTACTTATTCTCGATCCAAGGAAACTTGTAAATGATCGCATAATTAGCATAAAATCAAGTTTGTATATTAACTTGATGTATAGTTATTCATGGCAGCTGCAATTTTGTACAAATTCAATAAGTTTATTGATATACAGTGCCTTTCGTTTGCCCGTGATCTGAGCCGTGGGAATATCAAACTGCTCACATATGTTTTGCAGCATAGAAATTGAGAAGATGGACAACTTCAATTTCTTAACCAGCTCACACAAATTATTGTTATCGTAGCAAATAGGATGCTTTGGTACAACCTCTGTAATTACTTTGTTTCTCAATTCTTCAATCGTTGTTCATGTTCTGTGCTTTGCTCGTCATTGACACCAAGGTCGATTTGTAACGTGCGCTTGGCGGCCATGCAGGAAAAAAAGCTCTAAATCTGTTGACTTGTAAGAAATTCGTCGCTTGAGAAAAGACGTTGCCCGTTACTATCTCTTGCAGTTATCATAGATTTGGCGACTGAAACTGCAATAGCCTTGTTTCCTGTGGGCTCTCCAATACTAAATTTACTCATTAAGTATTGCTTTTGATTGTCGGTGAACCGACCTCTTGTTGTGGTACTTGATTTGAGGGCCCAGCCCATTGGCAATGTTGTCTGTTTCGATGATGTTCCTTCTGCACTACTCTGCTGAATCTGGACTCTTGTGAACTGTTCGTCTAATCTGATAGCATATCCATGTATTGCTTTATCAAGCAAGGTTTCACATTCAAGTGCCCTTTCGTGCTTTTCACTATCAAGGTGGTGGTGTAGTGCAGAAAAGCGTTGGTATGTTTTTGTACAACCTTCTTCTGGACAAGCAAATAGCTGTACTGTGTTGTCTGAACACTCCTTGGCTTCAACACTGGTAGCAGTGCCGGTATTAGCACAAGTTGGATTTGAAGTACTCCCCTTGTTTGTTGATCGCTTGTTAGAAAACTTGTCTGTGAGTACTTCATCTTCATTTGTAATTAATGATGGAATCCGAGCATCTTTGGCGATGTTGAGGCTGCCAAGCGTAATCTTTTTACCGGGTCCAATATCATAGGCTTTCCAGACTCGGAAGTAGTTCTTATTATATTCAACGTTGGAAAAAGAACTAACGCCTTCTAGTTTAACTTGGATTAGATTATCTGGTGTTTCCGGTGATTCACATAAAGTGATGCTGAGCCCATGGACACCAACTGATGACCTCATAGCGTTGACCATTTGATGGGCTGTTTCTATATCAATTCCCTGAATTAGATGAACTTTCATGTGAGTTTTGATGTTAGCGGCTTTCCTATTGCATGCCCCTTTTCCACCTTGCGGGTCTGAAAAGTCCATGCGCTTGATCGTTACGCCATGTAGTTTGCTCACAAGAGATACTCCTACAATGGTCGGCCCACTGCGATAACACCCAGTGTTATCCTGTCTATAGAAAATGGTCTTTAGGTGGGGCATTATCATCTTTAGCTTTCCCACTACATCTGACATAATAGCTAGTACAGCATAACTGTCTTGGCTACATGATTGGAAAATATGTGTAAAGGTCATCATTTCCAGTTGCTTAGGATTGGATGCTTGGCGTGTAGCCACTGTGATGTGTCACGAGAGTCCTCTCTTGCCAAACCAATCCCTTTGACTCTCCCTGTATTTTCGTGGGATAAATTTCATGGCCCAGTCTTCCACCAGCCAAATTGATGTTTCGTTTAAAGCTTCAATGATGTCAAGTCGTGCTTCATCTTGATTAATATTTCACAGCAGATGCGCCTTCCATGCTAGTATGTCTTGTTTAGCTTTCTTCACAGTAAATTACAGCTCTTCTTTTGTATCAACCGAAACATTGTTGTCAGACATCTTAGCCACTGCTCCACTTATTTCATTCAAGACCAGGGACAGCGACTCGCAACGGTCACAGGTGTCGAAGTGGTGGTGATCACATTTGGTTTGGATATCTTTGTCCTTTGGATCACTAAGTGAGTACTTCCTGCAGTGGTAAGGAACTGTAGATTCATTGGATATATGTACCTTGTATACAAGAAAAGAACAACATTTTATAAGTGTACTGATAATTATATACTCAGTATAATTGTATGGTATACTAATTATTCAGATATACCTTAAAGTCGCTTTTTAAGTAGCATTTAGCAGATTTAAGGCGATATTTCTGATCTTTAGCCCATTCCACCCCCATAAACTTGTCTCCAAGATGATCAACTACAATGCTAAGATCATCAAATGCTTGTGCCCCTGCAGAGCTAATGTAGTCGAGGCCTTGCAAAGATTTTCACACGGAGGCTGAACAAACCGATAAAATACGAAGCAGTGTATAGCCTAGGTATTGCTTGACAATAGATTCCAGGATCAGCATTCGTATGACATTAGGGACTTTCACAATTTCTTTGGTCGAGAGTTCGATTGATTTCTATCCAAAAGACATATCCTGTATCATGTATGGGCTGGTAATAAAGTCCAGAAAATGATCAAGCTGAATTTGAGAAATGAACATTTTGGTCTGCTTTATCATAGGAAGGGGAACTCCTCTGCCATAAATTAAAGCATGCTTTCTTGCCACACTAAAACGATATCTGGTAAGACGTGGAATCCATTATTGTAGCATTCTGTTAAAGCATTCATGAGAACCTGATCAATGTTATCGTCTTCCTGCTTATCTGATGACATTGATTCAACAACGGTCTGCCACAAATGTTCGGACTGATTTGGTGCTACTTCAAGAACAGCCTGCACTGCCTGCTTGGCCTTACGTATGTGGCGGCGTCTTGTTCTCTCACTCGCTTCTTCCCAAGGTACCTTGACAGGATATCTAATTGGACTAACATCTTTACTCTAAAGGAACTCGTTCAGCTTATCAATTGGATTTGCATCACTGTACACTCTGCTATCCTGGGATGTGATAGTTGTGGCTATCCCTGTATTTGATGGAGAATAGAGGGTTCCTTCCAATGTCTCCAAAGAAGAAAGGGAAAGATCAAATGCAGCTGGTGTACTTTGGGCTTGAGGAACAGATGTATCTTTAACCTCATCCTAAGACACAACCAATATTTCAATTAGTTTAAGCGTTATAAAAAGTTGATTAATTTGACAACTGGTAGTAGATACTATTGAGTCTATTGACGTTTCGGCACGTGTAGCTCGGCACACATCAAACTGTGTCTCTTACGGCTCTCAAATAAAAGGAAAAGTTACTTACCAAGATCAATTCTTTAATTTGGAAAATAACTTCACTTTCCTCGAGGGCCTCTCCAAGAATCTTTCTGCATTTAGAACACATACCTGAAAAAGAATATGTGTACAAACATAGTAACATTTCGTGTGTTTACTTCCACTAATGCTCAATCATGTACACGACTATTCAGTGATGTGAAGAGTCTCTGTTCCAACATACCTGAACCAATTGGGAGAAATACACCAGTCTCTTCAACACAGTTCTTGACCCACTTTTACTTAAACCTCTCTCTGCTTTTGGTCTTTTCTTGACATCATCTTTGTGCTGAGAAAGCATTACTGGTATGCAGCATTTCACAGATCGCCGTTTCCAACTAACACCTAGGGATGCACGGTGATGTGGACAAATTGTAAAGCTGTCTAAATTTCTTGTGGACTCAAAAATACATGCCCTTGCTAAAATCAACTCTATTTCTGATTCAACGCCAGTTATGTACAAATATCGTTTATGCTCATCGATATTGCGAGTACAGTTTCTCAAAGAAATAATGGTAGTAGATTTATTTCTGTCTTTCGGATCAAACCCACACTGACCGCTAACAATAGCTCGAAATGAACATGATTCGCTGACTTCCATACTTGTGAACACAATATATAGTTATATTGTCGTTCCCAGGCCACATTTGTTATAAAACTTCCAATTACGTTGCAAGTTAGTTATATATTTATTAAAATTGAACTTCAAATGCTACTTTATTTTATTTTTGCATGTTGTTTCCTTTTCGTTTCTGAGTGATTGTTTATGAGAGCGAAAATAACCTTGCAAAGTGCGTTGCAAAGTTTGAACATTTAAAAATTGAGCATTTAATCTAAATAATTGGGATTTTCATGACGAACAAAGGAGGCGCACGTTGAAATCGACAATAACAAATTTCTAGACAGAGACTGAGCTAGAGACGATTAATTGATAACGAATTTCAAAATCCCTGGACATTTCTTGTGGTCACACACCACACACCAGTGACACCACTTCCGTTTTTATTTCCTATATAATCTATCCTAACTGCACGAGATATTATTCATAACAAAAATATAGATTTCAGTATTATATGCAGTACGGTAAGCCATTGCCCGGTGATGTAAACAAACATGTAATTAACACATACTTTCATTGCAAATTTCTTCACTTCAGTTGCAGATTTCATTGCGACTGTGGAAAAACCCAAACAAATGTTTGCAGTCACTCTTAGTTTGTCGTGTACAGGTTGTACTACCTGATTTTCATGGAAATTGGAGAATGGCCACATGCAAAAAATCGCATTTATATATGTGGGGTAAATACACTATTAGTATTAACGAGATTTTGAGAAACTATGTTGTCGTTCTGGTACATTAAAAGGACTGCTGAGTCGCTGGCACCACTATTTTCATGCATCAGTCTATAACAAAATTTTAAATGCAACATTTTTAAACATATTAATAATTATTTATACTAAATAACAACTACCCTGGTTCCAGAGATTTATTATAAAATTTCATTGTAAGTAATATTAGAAATGGCAAAGGTAATATTATATAAAATGAAAATAAACCTCTGGAACCAGGGTAAATAACACCAGAAATAATGTCTAATTTAAATGGGTAATTACTTAAGATATTCTTAAAGGGATATCATGTCATGCTTTAGATCAAACTAACCGTGTGAATTAATAAGCTGGGAAAAACGTTAATGACAGCAAGCCATTGCCCGGTGATGTAAACAAACTCGTATAAATTAACATACTTTTGTTGCGAATTTCTCCAACTTCAGTTGCAGATTTCATTGCGACTATGCAAAAACCCAAACAAATGTTTGCAGTCGCTCTTAGTTTGTCATGTACAGGTTGTACTACCTGATTTTCATGGAAATTGGAGAATGGCCACATGCAAAAAATTGCATTTACATATGTGAGGGGTAAATACACTATTGACAAGATTTTGAAAAACTGTGTTAGGAGAATCACAATTTTTCCGTATAAACTCGGGTTAATAATGCAAAAATCACCAGTAACAACTCTTTAATACCTGTTCTCTCGGAATTGAGTGGGAAATAGCTTGTAACCAGGGTTCTTTTATCAAATGAAAATGTTTATTGAAGCGTTATTGCTGGCTATCGTCTGGGCTATTTTTAGACCGAAACAGAGTAAAATCTCTTTTCTCAAAAAAATCCCGATTTTTTGCGTAAGTTGAAAAACTGACTCTAGTACGTTTAATAACTCACACAATACTAAAACCAAACCAAAAAGGAAGGAATTCTTATATTTTGACTGTGGCCGGTAATTTTCGAATTTGTTCGATATTTCTGGACAGTTGCTCTTAAACCTTTAGCAAATGACATCATGTTTAGACCAACTTCTTTATCTGAAGACAAATTTTGACCAGTGTTTAAACACTGATTCCCTCAAAAACATCAAGCACTACATCACAGTGAACCCCAGTTTTAAATCCCTATTTCACTAGATACTGGTAATCTATCTAACATGCCTCGAGAAAAATTAGCCCATTTATAATTGTTACTGAACTGTGAATAAACATAAATATCTACACTGAAATGGGGAGTGCCTGCAAATATTTCAACATCAGTTCCCCACACACTACTGTTACTCATGGCTAAATAATCATCTACTGAACTATTCATCAGGGGCTGGTTGTAAAGGTTTTACATGCTCAAGAAAACAGTCTCTTGAGACAGTTTAAATCGCTATATGGCAGATAAAATTGGAAGATAAAACAATGATTATTTCGGATGGAAAGAGCATGGGATAATTATAGAAATGCACAATCCTTTAGAAGTTATATTTTTAAATCCAATGAACATGAAAAATTCACTTTTAACTGGCTTGTTCTTGAGGTACACTGTCACTGAGGTCACTTGCTCACTTGTATAAATTATGTGGCTTTGCTATATTCACACACACCAGTGTCAGTGTTTATACATTAAGTATACTCTGGCTTTTTTCTCCTTTTCTTCTATTATATAGTTTAAAAACAAGCAGTTAGACTCCCATTTTTAGGTATTTTAAAACAAAAAATGAATTTGGAAAACCGACAAGTATACAAAATAGACAACAAGATGCCGAAAGTCGAAAAAATTTTGTTCACTTGTGTTAATCGTTTGATCAGCCAATCAAAACTTGGGACAAAATGTTCTTAAAATTGTTTTGAACAAAAGTGCAAGGTCAAGGAACAAATTTCAAAAATATAGGTACGCACTGCGTACAGGTGGCAAGCTTTTGGAGTAAAAATTAGAATTTGCATTATGAAACATAAAAATAAAAACTGCGACAGATAAATATTGATATTTCATTATATATTTTGGATGATACCTATATTGCAAAAACATTTTAGAATATGTTGGTTTTATGATGTGATAATTTTATTATTATGCATGGGAAAAAACTGGATTGAGCTAGAGAAAAATGTATTAAAATTATTTGAGGCCTTTATTGAAGTTGTTATCAGTGTTCCAGTTACATGTGAAGCTCACTGCGCAAAGTATGCCCGTTTGCAGGTATATTGTTTTGTGCGCACACGTAGAGAATTTTCCAGTGATTATAAAACGATAATTTTTGACAACGTGCAGTCTTTTCGAGATTGATCGTGCACCTGAGTAAAGCTTTTTGGTTTATAGTATATAAGGTTAGTATATAATTTGCATTTATTTATTTATTTTATGTGCTTTTTACAGTAAGACTTTTTGAAAGACTAGTATTTGGGAAAAAGTCGGTATATTTGCATTTTGCAGGCTACCAAAATAAATATTTGCATCAAAATATCAGTTTCGTTGATCAACTGCAGTGTTTAATAGCTAGCAGTAAAGCCAGTCCTTAAAATATCTGGTCAATCAGTTATATGGATTCACTTATTTTTCCTGATATTGAAAGAAAACATAGTTTAGTAATTGGTGAATATTATCTTTTTAAAAAAACTGACTTATCTAGCATTAATATCTGATCATATATGTATCATTGTATGGATCTTGTTAGTAATCATTTAAATACAGTAGGCCATTGTGTCAATTTGCTGAAAAGGAAATTGCTTTAATATATACAGTCAAACCTCTATTAAGCGGCCCTCCGTTAAGCGGCCATCCTCTATTAACTCATTAACGCCCAAGCTGTTACAATGTTTCTACCCCCCTAACGTCCAAGCAATATGGCGAATACGTGACTGAATTCAAGAGCTTTCACCAAAATGGCAATATCTCAGAAACAGTTGCATGAAAAAATCTGGTCTTTTCAACCAAATATTATTAATATATGATTGACCAAATTTAGTTTAAATGAACTTGCATACCTATATATATATCATTAGTTTTTTCAATGAGAATTTTTATTTGTAAACCAGTGACACTATTTTTTTCATGTCACTCAACACCTAAAGGGGCAATATCTCCATATATTTATATAAAAACCAAAAAAAAAATTATTTACTAAATTAGTACATATCTATATTATAACCAGTTTTCATCTATTGGGATATGAATTAGAAAATGATCAAAAATTATAAAAAATACTCCTTTGCTTTTTTGGGCAAGATGTTTACAACATGAAATTTAGAACAGTAACTAAGTGTTAAAATTCAACAAAGTGTGCAAGCCAAAACACAGTGCTTGTACATCTTTGGAGTTTTTAATTACCTCAAATATATTTAAAAGGGCATACGGTACTAGAATCTATTTGTTTTCAATATAAACCAAGGATGGGAAGGTGAGAAAATAGGAATTTTCTGAGGTGTTTTTAACACAGACAATGACAGCCGACATTTTCAAAGGCAAATTGCGGTGACAAAACCAAAAGTTATTCACTTCTCTACTCAAAGCACTGAAAAACACCATAAAGAGAAAAAAATTTTAAACATACATCAGGTAAGCCTTTTAGCTCAATTTTCTCATGTTTCTGTTTGGAAAGAAACGGTTTTTAGCCAAAATTATTTTGCGCGTCAGACACACGTTCTCTTTTGAAGTCTGGCTCTGAAAAACAATCGCTTTTTTTTAGTTTGAAATAAGCTTTCATTAGGACTAATTGTGTAGAAATGTTATCTGTATGCTCAAATGAAAAAGATAACCTAATAGTCAGGTATTCAACATAGCTATAAAAGGGTGAAATAAGGACTTTCATCTTTGGTTGTTTGTCAGACATGAGAAACCACATTAGTGCCATTTTGTCGCGCGTGCTATTTTATAAAATAAACACCTCAAAACCATAAACTTTTAGTTCAGAAAATTACAAAGTTTCCCATAGACATTATTAAAAATGTTCTAGTGAAACGATTTCATGATAAATAAGCGAGCAATGGGCCCGAAAGGACAGCTAAATTATGTTTTTGGTGGGACTTCAGTTTCATGGCTTCCCGCAAAGGAAGCCATTTCAGAGAGAGGCGACAACAACGGCAAACAACCGTCGCGACCAAATTTTGATAACTTTTCCTTCTGATTCAACATGTAGTTACTAGAAAATGAGGTTGGATCAACATTACTATCTGCCTTATCGATTTAAAGTTTTATGGGGATATAAAACCCAATACAAAAAGCATTTTAAAAGCATTAGAACTCAAGTGCGGACTTTTTGAGAATTCGCACGTGGCAAGCAAGCGCATTAATTCAATACACTTATTTCAAACCACAATATGTCTGAAACGAGTTGTCATTTTAAGACTAAATTGATGAAAATAGATATAACAGTGATTTTGGAGTACCCTACTTACTTAGTGTAATTTAATACTCGAAGTATTCTTGCCAAATAGGGCACGTACGCACACAGTAATTTAATCTGGTGTCGTTTGAAACATACTTTAGCTAAAATAACAACTTGAACAAGAAGACCAACAATGGGGTTACGAAAACAGTCGTAATTGTACCCAAATTTGCATAAACAGTTCGTCTAAAAAGATAACTTTAAACTAGATTCAACCAACATTAATGCAGTCGAATTTTGTGAGTGTTTGATCGCATATTTCTACTCAAAAATACCCTTTAAAAAATCGTATCTGCTCACTTGTGTTCCGTGTTCATCTTTCTTGTGAATTCCGACTTCTATTTTTAATAAAGTTTGGAGAAATCCTCATCTTTTTGGCTGAAAATCTTGCGCATGGTTCACAGAAAAACTTGGCCCCAAAACGTCAATACATTCGCTTTCCTTTCATGCCAAATTTTCGTTGTAGTTGATTCAGAAACCTCTTCTTTTCTTGCTTTTAAAACTTGCTGTAAAATGTTTCTTTGTAACAGAATCGCCATTATTCATTATTTTTGGAAAACTAAGATTTTAAACTTGAAAAACTTTGCGAGTTTCTGACCGATTTTCTTGCATGATACACCGTTGAAAAGCTCGAATTTCACGTTCTATTTTCGTATCCGTTGCTAGGCAACCCGATAAACACGTGCTCAAATATCATGCCCGCAAGTTAAGGTGTCATGCCAGGGCGCATTCGGGCGCATTGTCCGTTACCCACTTGTCAATCTCAGGGCGCATACGGGCGCATTGCACGTTAATGAGTTAAATGGCCACATATCGAAATCCTGAAATGTTTGCAATAAAAATACTATAAACTATGCCTCTATTAAACGGCCTCCTTTATTAAGCGGGCGCGGCGACGCAAAGAGCGGTCCCAAATGATGTTTTATTCATGTCAATTTTTACCTCTCTTAATCGGCCAGCCTGCAAGATTTTTAGGTTTAGATATAGGTAATGAGAACCAGAATGGTGTCCTAGTAATAAATTTATGCTACAATAGTCCCTAAATGTTTGTCCAAAAGGTTTAGTGTGAAATATGATAGTGTGATGGCCTCGTGTTGTTTGGCACAATGTATGCCTGTGAAAAAATGTTACAGTAGATGAAACTGAGAAAGATAGAATCACTATTGTACTAGAAAATACATGCATGCAAAAACCTTCGCCTTGCTGACAAAACCATTGTATTTTCCGAACATGAAGTATCTAAAGTAGTTGCCATGGTAACACGATAATTTTTTAAGAATATTCTTACAAATGAAAATCGCCTAAAAATATCACTTTTAATTACAAAATTATCAATTTCCCAACTTATTTATGTTAGGTATGTAATTATACGTAATACAAGCTTCAATTTAAGGTAAAATTCAACCTCAAACAATTCACAAAACGTTTTAAAGTGTTCTTTATTAAACTAAACTGCCTTTAACTATTAAATGGCTTTATCGATAAACTTTGAGTTTGCAATAAAATGATTTCAAATTCTCGCTTGCAAATAACTTTGCTTTATTTTTTATTAAAAAAATTCAATATAATAAAAAAGGGAATCAATATTAGGGATACACTGAAATTATATGCTGTATTGTTTAGTTGTTTCATATATGCAAAAGCCGTCGGGTTTTAATGCCATTATAAAATCAATATTTAAAACAAACTTACCTTCGTTAACGTCGGCTCCCTTCTTTTAGCTGATTCTTCGCCCTTTCTTGAAATTTACAAAATCTTGCAGAAATACGAGCAAAAATGAAGAATATTTGCAAGAAATTTAATCATCAACTCATCAAATCAAGAAATGTTTGCTATTTCGCTGTCGTCATGCAGCCGTTATAATGCAAACTTTAAATTGGACCAATCAGTGTCCGTTATTCATGACAGTCCGCCATATTTTTGAGATCAGTGAGGATGACCACCCATCGTTGGTGACCGACGCCCGCGATATTTGATGGACTTTAGACTTCGCTAATGCTTTCGTTTCCCCGGGTGTAAATAGCCGGGGGGAATTAGTACCCTCGCACGGCGCTTCGCGCCGCCGGCTCGGGGATTATTATAGAGGTTCGACTGTACTGTAGTTTACTTAAATTTGTGGTTGTTGAATTTTGTATCTTTTTTACCTTTTGCTATTAGATAGCTCTAGCATGGCCGAGCAGAACCGACGCTCCTCCAGCCGACCTGCAGGTACATATAGTATTTACTTATGCATGTCATGATATATTTAGTATTTTAAAGGAAGCATTTGTAAATTCTGAATGGCAATTAATAGCGATGAACCATGTTGATGTAACTGTATATCAACACAGAAATTTCTTAATTCTTTAAAATTGTTATTTTTCAGTGTTAATATTTTTAATTTTATATAAAAATAGAAAACTAACTTTTTCCGATTATAATATATAAACAGCGTTATGTTTCTACACATTTTCTTGTCGTGTTTGCACAGGTTTTTTTCGATGATCACTTGCATTATATAATGCCTGATGATTCCTGTAATTGTTTGTAAAATTTGAAGTTGCCAAAAATCAGTTCAGAACTGACAGCTCACAAATGGTTCTATTATGTTTCAACTAATACCTTGGGTTTCAGTAGCATATTAAACTGGGCAGTCAATAGTGACCTGTTAACAACATGGTTGAATGATGATCATTGTGAGGTCCCACATTTCTGGGGGGGGGGGGTGGTGGTCGAGGGTCATCTCCCCAGAAAACTTTCAATTAAAATTTCTGAAATGGCATTTGCAGCATTTTGAGGCTACTTTTGTGAAAAAAATACAAGTACAATAAATCACAAAATGATGTAATTCCAAGATAAAATTTTGTATTATGGATCACTTACATTTATACACTATAATATATCACATTTGTTCTACGTTAATTATTTTAATAGTACTATTAAAGGTAGAGTACAGTCTTTATGTAAACAAAGCCTTTGTTTACATTTCGGTATTTAATTAAAATATTGAACTTTATAATAGTTTGTTTGTGGAAACACCATGTAAATTTATTACTGCAAAGCTTTCGATCCGTAAGCATGGATCTTCATCAGTGCTAATATAGATCCGGGCTTACGGATCAACAGCTTTGCAGTAATAAATTTATGTGGTGTTTCCACAAACTATTATATGTTTTATCGCCATGCAAACATACAAATAACTTATATTGGACTTTATTCATCAACTATTTATATTTTCATGCTTCTACAATATAATAAATGATCAAGATACAACAATCGGGGTTTGCAAAAACATAAAGTGAAATAAAAATCTAATTAAAGTGTTTATATTATGGCAGGAGACTCCCATGTGCGCATGCACAGACCAGACTGTATCCTATCTTTAATTGCTGCATATAATAGCTGGACCTATTCCAAAATAATCAGATGGCATTTATATGCACTGGTGATATGCCGATTTGATAATAAACACCTTACTCTACATTTTCTGTTTTTAATAGTCTAATTTAACTAATTTTCTTTTTAAATTGTTAGGTGACGAGATAGTTTGCTTTGTGCATAACCTGACACCGAAAAAGTCTGGTAGCATGTCCTATAATACGTGTGATTTACAGACACTGACAGCGAATGTGAAAGCAGTATGTTTTTCGCCTGAGAAAGTCATACCATTGAAGCAAGCAATTGCTTCAAAAAGCCCTGTTAAGATAAAAAAATTTGAATTCAACGAAAAATTCAATAATGTTGTAATAAGTAGAAAAAGTGTAATTCAAGAATGCGAAGGGCCGATTGGTTTTAAATGTGATGATATGAATTCGGAAGTAAGTTTGATTCAGGTGCATTCAGTATCTCCTGGACAACTTGTGACAGTAGCAGCCCAAATAACCCAGATGAGTGGAGTCAAAAAGGTGAAAAGAGAAGATGGATGTTTAGATGAAGTTACGGCGATGTTGGTGGATCCTACAGGTTCTATTAAATGTGTCTTTTTTGGAGAATGGGTCAAGTGTATTGAGGAAGGGGAAACATATACTTTTACCAACTTAAGAGTACGCACAGACTATTTGAGTCAGGAGAAGTTTGTGAATACTGCCAAAACTGGTTGTAAAATAGAAACAAGAAAAGCATTCGGTGAGCCATTAGCACCTGCTGCTCCATTGGTTGCTGACATTGCAACAAAAGAAGCAATTTTTTCTGTGGTGGGCATAAAAGGAATCAGCAAATACTATTCATGCAGTAGCTGTTCGAAGAAGCTGGAAGAGCAGGGTACAAAGTTGTATTGTCGATCCTGTAACATGAAGCAAAAACCAACAAATGTTCAGTGGGTTTCGAGACTGCGGGTACAAGATTCAACTTCCGACCAATTGAACATCACAGTCTTTCACCCACATATGGTAAAGTTATTTGAAAGTCAAGGAAAATCTCTGCTGCCTTCACTAACGGAGAGTGTAATAGAAGATATACTTCTTGATGTTGAAAACATTCATGCAAGCATCAACATCCAGCAAGGAAAACTTTTAGATATTCTGGAATGACTTTGATCTTGTGAACATATACTGTAAAACAGTTACATTATTTTTAAAGTGGATATTCTATTTTGGGATTTGTTATGGTTACTTGGTTTGTTTACAAGAGGAAAACATAAAACTTTGATGTTATAAACATATAAACTCTTACATTTTTATATTTTGATACTTGCTATGGACACAATAATATAAGAACTGTATACAGTCTTAACTGTTTGTTATTTTGTTTGGTTACAAGAAAAAAACATTTAAAAATAGGATTCAAGTAATATAAAATACTTTTGACAATTTATACTTGTAACTTTATTAGTTCATTATATTGGTTTTTACTCTAAATCAATGGTGTTTTCTGCAATTGATTATTGGCTAAAAGTTCGCGCTGAAATATAATATAACATGGAAGGATACACAGTTTTAAGTCCCTGGTGAAAACAATAAATTAAATTTAATTATTTTTTCTACGAGGGGACTTAATTGCTTCATTCACAAACTAAGCAGTCTCTCCAGTTGACAATTATTGCTATTTCAGGTTTGCAGTTCATTATTTGGTAATAGGCACATTCTACTGTGTCTTATCTGTTGCTGCCGTTGCACATTCTGAACATTCTTCATATCATTTGTGACCAATTCTTATGGTTTGACATCCAGTAATTTGTTGGCCTTCCTCTTGATCATTTACATTATTTTCTTTGAGGGTTGCAGGTCCAAGTTTGACAACATCTTGTATCTATCATGTTAATCATTCGAGAATAGTACAGGTTTCACCAGTAAGTTGTACAAGATGAATGAATTTTTCACTTTGAAGGACTTTCATGACATAGCTTTTGATTTGAATTATTTGATTGGTACCGGTCCTCGTAGAGTTTATATTAATATTTACTTCTCAGCATTATCCAATACTACAGTATCAACAGTGTGTTGATATGCTCATTATAAGGTCTTCAATCATTACCACCATATCCAGTTGTATAAATTTAAAGCAATGTGGCATTATTTTGAGTTTAAGTTGCATCTACAAAGTGTAAAAAAAGCAATATTATTGTACAGTACAATAGTACATATATATATATATATATATATATATATATATATATAGTTGGTAAATACCGACCGTTGGTAAATTCCAGACTGTGCAAGCGGAAAGATATTAAGACGATAAGATGTAATTTCTCATAATATCAAATTATATTTAAATACATAAATTAAACGACCAATAAAAGAAACAAAACATTGCACGATCGTTCATAGTACTTATTTTCTACTTTCAATTGATCCTTTGTTGTCCAGAGCTACAGCATAAAAGCTGCAAATATCATTCAATAACTTTAACTCTGACGCATGCATTGCCATCCTGGCTAAAGGGTCTTCAATTATACTTGGATTCCCCGTTGCCCAAAGGAGTTATGATTTGCAAATGAATATATATATATATATATATATATATAATACTATTGTATAATTACAAGTGTCAACAGGTATTGTACTGTAGCTGCATGTATGACCAACTATGATTTATGTGCTTCATTGTACTTCCTGGTGGCAGACTTGGCCTCACGAAGGACGTTTGGTGGGAAGGTGTATTTGTCTCTCGCGCTTCGATTCTGCAGTTCCATTTTAATCATGATTATACTGCTAAGGGTTTCGTCAGGATCAAGATTTGGCCTAAACGATGTCTTGTTCTTTTGGACAAGAGAAAACACTCTTTCTTCCTCGGCGTTAGAATGTGGCATTGTCAATATCAGCATTGCTACTCTAGACAATCTGCTAAATCGGAACTGACCATCAGGGCGTTTCATGTTGTGAATGTGGTTCCAAAGTAAATCTCCCAGGTACCTGCCATCATTACCTTTCAGGTCATCTGTAATGGAGCTTTGCAAATCGTTTTCTTGCAACAAAAGATAGTCAATGAACTCCTGTGAAAGCTCTTCCATTTCGATTGCTGAACTGTATGGAAGTAACTTAGGATATCTAAGAAATAGAGCACAATAAACACAAGTAGTAGCAAAAATACCCAATCATATAGAGACAATATAATTTCACTTAGAAGTGACTTACCTCTGCACAAAATATAGAGGCATGTCTACTGTGCAGTTATAACGGTTGTCAAATTGAATAAATTGGGCATTTTGTAGCACAGGATCGTCAACGGGCATGTGATTAAGAGCATATTTGAAAGCTGTCGTAAAAAACATTTTCACGCCGTTGTAAAATGTTTTTACATCGTTTTGACAAACATCACCTGCTGCTAGTAAGCGATTGACGGTGCTCCTGGTGATGAAACCAACATCCATACCAGATGCTAGGATAAAAATTAATTAATATGAGCTACTGCAAATTGAATAATATAAAATTTAAAAATGCACGAGGTGTGCATATGTCGTTTCAACTATTCATATTTGCACTTTTTATACCTGTCAACCAGCACTTGCTATCCAGAAGTTCTTGAAAGTCCTTTGCATCTTTTACTTTCGCTGGTGCAATGAATTTGCATGCAAGAAGTCACAGAAACCGCAACAGCGCAGGACCTAGTGCACCAATTAAAGGATCCGATCTCTGGAGGAACAGATTCAAGTGAATAAAAATCTGCACAGCAGACTGATAGAACAGGAGAAAGACTTCAGTCATGGGGTTTTCAAACGCAGCTCTGAGCCTCTTGAATCGGGCTTGGGATTCTTCCACTGACAGGAAATACGACTTCAGTGACGTATACTGTTTCAATGCACGAGATACACATTTCTCGAGACTGAGCCATCTAGTACTCACATGCTTCAGAACTTGTCTGTATTCTTGATCACAGAATTAAGTATAGTCCGCGAGTAAGTTCTTTCTTTTTGTTGAATGATCGAACCAATAGAAGAGGTCTACCAGCATATCTTCTATGTCAAACTTTGTTGTGTCTGCAAATGCTGATGAAGCCGCAGCAGCAGTATTATGTACAACATGGCATTGGCACCCGTTGAAGTACACTGAACGATTCTTTTCCAGCACCATGGTTTTAATCGAATGCCTGTTTCCCATGTTGACGTTGGTATTGTCGACTCCAACTGCAATGCAGTTATCCCACAGAATGTTAAGGTCGTGATACAGTTATCTATTGCATTGAAGATATCAGAAGCTGTACCGCTTGGAGTCATGCACATATCTAGCAAGCTCGTCTTCACCTTTCCCCCACTAATATCAAAGATACGTACTGTCAAGGGATTCATCTTTTCTAATGTATTATCATTGGAGCCATCCGTTGCAAGGGAATACGGGTATTCTCGCATGTGTTCAACCAATAAATTTCTAAGAATTATAAGTAAAAAGTTGCATAAAACTTTACTATAACTATTACTACTATTACTTTACTGTAATGTTACTAATGTACTTTGAAACTTAAGATATACACGACAGATACCATAAGAGAGGTACCTGTGTCTGATAGAACCAGTGGATAAAACGCTCGTTCACGGCAGGGCGCGCACTAATTTTAGAAGCGACCTGCGAGTTATGTGTAAGAAACAGAACGTTTGTGATGTTATGGTAGTCATGCAATATTTAAATTAAAATATACCTGAAATAAGGTTTCATTGCACCGTTTACTATGCATGTTGTTTTTGTTCTGGCTGAGGCAAATGCTTTCGCTATTTCAGAATCAGGAAACATTTTTCTAAATAAAGGGCTGAATGTGTCTGCCGCTGCGAAAGGTATGTTGTTTTCCACCAGCGCAGCAGCCATTTGGACTTCTGCTGAAGTTACCTGCAAGAGACAAAAATAAAGTATAATGGCGGGTAAAAATTAAAGAAAAGGGCCAGTCCAAAGAGCAATTACACATTACGAAGGTTATTTGACTTCTTTGATACAAAACAAATCACGACAAGAAAACAGATCTGATTTAATACTGTACGTACCTTTTCTTCCTTGTTCTGGGCTTGAGCACATGATTGGTGGAGGGTTACTTGTTTCTTACTTCCTTTCACGTTTTTCAAATGAGAATACCTCTCAACATGCCTCTTGACATCTGCTACTCCTTGCTTTCCGCAAGATAGTGTCTTATTACACAAGGTGCAACAGAAACTATGCTTAGATTCTTTTGAAGCGACAATACATGGCCATGTTTTTGTCCATTGCAGATTAAAACTGGCTTTATAGAGGAAAGAACCAGTGTATCTTTTCTTCTTATTTGCATGTTCCTCTTCCTTATTTGCATGAGTTTTTTGTCTCTTTTTTGGTAGAGAGTCGTCTACAGTCGTCTTGGCTTGCTTCTCTGCTCTTATCTCTTTGGATTCTCCCTTACTTGGGTTGACCACAAAATCAGCAGGCATTAGGGGCACAAAGTGATTAGGGTTCCATTTGTTTACATCTGTATTAGATATGTGCGACCATAAAATAATTACTTTCTTCAAACAACACTCCACAGTTGGTTTTATGGTGATATCAATGAATGAGCGATCAACAGTTGTGCCTTTTACCATTGGGTATACAGACACTACAGGGCAGCCAATGACATTACATAACGCAAACATATGCCACATATTTGAATAAGTCCCTGCTTTTATCGTATTCAGTACACCAGCTTCAAAAGCATAAGAAATGCGAATATCACTTGTCTGAGCCTTGGTAGAAGTAGTTTCAAAACTACTGTAGAACATTTTGCTAATGAAAGCATCTTTTCCTGTCAAAGTTCTAAGATAGTTGTCGTCCAGATACCGATCTTTGTTCAAGCAAAGCTCGACAAATGTCCGTACTCTCAGTTCTATGTGCATGTCTTCGTTGCTACAAAGAACAGTCGAAGCAGCTCTGTATAGACAGTTCCCGTCGCCATAGGTCTGCACTGGCAAATGAAATGGAGGTGCATCCGAAGGAATAAGCTTAGAGGCGACTGTGTCTCTAAATCCTGATGAAATAACAGTAACAAAATTTAGGTTCCTTCTGGTTGACCTAACTTTGCGCACAAATATTTTGAAAACATGGCAAGCCATTAAATTCAGCCTGTATATGACAAGCCTATTGGCAAAATAGAAAAACCCTTAAATATTTTGGGTAGGGAGTATGAAAACTACATTTTTTTATTAGGCCAATTTTTTTAATAGTCCATTATAATGAGCTTTATCCCAAAAATCTAAAATATAATAATCGCGTGTAGATGCTATTAAAGTAACTTAATTAATCGTTTAAAAATTCGCGGTATAAATATAAACAGAATGCAAGAAGTTTGTATGAGCCTATAAATTTATAACCATATGCCTGAAATAAAAGTTGTATATAGAAGCAGTAGTTAGGTGGCTTTTATTAGCTACTTTCAAATCTCTTTGGTTGATATTATTTCACTAGTAATGAAATAAATTTCAAACAAATTTTCTCAGAAGTTCCTGTAAAATAAGGGACGGACCATTAGAAAAGTGAAGGGGGGGGGGTATTTTTTTCATGTTTGCAATTTTTTCAGATATTCAAATGTGTATGCAATTTTTTATGAACATGTTACCTTGCATGCATATTTTTTTACCCAATACATATAATAAATTTGTTTTCTTGAAACATTTTTTCTTACACATTACAAGATGTTCTAGCAATAATTGCTTTAAAACCAGCAAGATGTATGATAGTCATAAAAAATTATAAATACCAACATCAAGGAATACCTAACCTGCAATCTGAATCAGGCCCATAAAAAGAAATAGGCCATGAAATCGACCTGAAATTGCTCATGAGCAATTATTGGGGGGTGTTCCACCACAACCCCAGTCGCTACGGCCCTGGTTGGTGCTAATTGATTATACTATTGTGATTATAAATTTTACAGTAGTTTTAACTGTAATCACAACTATAATTAGATTGTTGTCGTTGTGTGAAACTTAAATTTCTCTTGTGACATTTTGATTGGATAATAAATATAAGCTTTGTTGTGGGTGGAGAGCTATTGGATTAAGGTTTGTGTTGTTGTTCTGTTTGCAATTATTTTTGAGACGTTCCTGTTGCATGTTTTTTTATTTTTTTACCTTTTATGATTGTATGCATTTTTTCTGTCCCCCCCTTCACTTTTCTAATGGTCCGTCCCTAATGGGCTATTCCAATTATTATCCGCACCCCCTTGTTGAGCAACCCCTTTCTCATGTCGGTATTCCGCAGGCCATTTTTTAAGAAATTAAAACTACTGAGGCCTTTTCAATGAGGGCATTTTCCCCACACAGTTATGCGTACATCATTGTCTATGCTGTGCTGACTTTGGAATGTAGAGAATGTGAGAGCCTGGGAGGATATGAGAATTAAAGCAGGCAGATGCAGCTTTTTCAACAAGAATACTTTTTAATTCATGATCAGAAGCAGAGGTGCCAGAATATCAATAATTAGGGGGGGGGGCAGATATTCATATATTCGTGTTCTGCCCACTTAATTTCTTTTGAAATCGATTGTTTTTACAGTCTGTGAACACAAATATATGAATATCTGCCCCCGCAATTATCGATATTCTGGGGCCTCTGATCAGAAGGGCCCAGCTCATCTGAAAACATTGCTTCACTACTGGGGCAAGCAAAGGGTCTACTGGGGTAAATGCCCAAGTAGTTACAGTTAAAAAATGCCCTGGTACTCCTCTGGAATTTCCACAAATTTTCATGTAAAATTTACCCCTTTACCATGGAATTTCCTTGTAAAAATTACCCTTGCCCATGGAATTTCCATTTTAAATTAAGCCTTCCCCATAAAATTTCGATTTAAAATTTGGCCCTGTCCATGGAATTTCCTCCATCATGGGACATTTACTCCCAAAAATTTGCCTCTAACATATGTCCTCCCATGGAATTTCCATCCCATGAAATTTACCCCTCCAGGAATTACCGTGAGAATTACTCCTTCCTTTGAATTCCAGAGCCTGGATGCACTTTTCCGTGGAAATTCCAGGGTTAATGCAACCCATCCCCTAAAAAGTCCAAGGTTAATGTACCCCCTCTCCAGGAAATTCCTAAGTTAATGTACCCCCTCCCCTGAAATTTGAAAGCTAATGTGCACCTCTCCCTTGGAAATTCCAAGGTTAATGCACCCTCTCCCTGGAAATTCCAAGGTTCCTCAACAGGGGGGGGTGTTAATAATTGGAATAGCCCAATATAAAACCAAGAATAAAAACAAATTACAGCACGTCTATTAAATAGTTTATCTGGTGATGTTTCTCTATACTATTTAATACTCACCCACGACTGTATTTTCATCTGGCTTGATGTCCAAAGGCGGAAGAACTGGTAGTTTCCTTACAACCTCATGAAATCCCAATGGGAGAAGACCTAAAATATCTCGTTGTAGCTTCGAAAAGTAATTTCCATACTCTGCTCCTAAATTTGCATTTACTGCGCCTGCATTTTATGCGGTTTCAAACACGAATGTCGGAGTACTTCGTGTAAAAACAAGCAACGAGCCTCATATTATTGCGTAATTGCGTACAGTGATCGATTCCGATCACAAAATTACAGCCTTTAAATTAATACGGAAAAAAATCTTTATTTGTTATATTTAATTGTTGCAAGCGGGAGACACTGGACTAAAAGCGGGAGAGCGGTAGATGAAGCTAAAAACCGTAAGTCTCCCTCCAAAAGCGGGAGAGTTGGCATCTCTGCTTATAGTGTGTTTCCCACTTCAGCTGTATGACAACGCGCCATAGTTTCGGCCAAAACAAATATGTTATTTGTTATTATAATATGTTGAAATAAAATGTAATAATAGTGTAGTAAAATTGTTCAAAACTTACCTATATTCCATCGCCTGAAGTTATCCAGAATGTTACCATGTTTGTAATAGAAAATATAATATAGGTATCTGAAAAGGAATTATATAAATGATGAGAATAAAAAAAATAGGAGAGGAAAAGAGTAAGAAAGGAAGAAAAGAAACTTACCCAGGCTGTTAAAATTTATGAACCACATGTAATTTACAAGTTTTTAAGAAGTTCTAAGATTTAAAAGCTTTTGAGATATAATTTAGAGATATATTTTTTAGTAAACACTTTACACTGTCAATAAGCTTTGTTGTGGTAGAGCACATTTTTGTGTCACTGCGAAAGAGATGCAATCATTCCTTCATTCTATTGAGGTATATTCACCTTGTATAATATTTTTACTTTTTCCCCGAGCCGACGGCGCGAAGCGCCGTGCGAGGGTACTAATTCCCCCCGGCTATTTACACCCGGGGAAACGAAAGCATTAGCGAAGTCTAAAGTTCATCAATGAGTGCGGGCGTTGGTCACCAACGATGGGTGGTCATCCGGCTCACTGATCTCAAAAATATGGCGGACTGTCATGAATAACGGACACCGATTGGTCCAATTTAAAGTTTGCATTATAACGACTGCATCACGACAGCGAAATAGCAAACATTTCTTGATTTGATGACTGATAAATTTCTTGCAAATATATTTCATTTTTGCTCGTATTTCTGCAAGATTTTATAAATTTCAAGAAAGAAAAGGTGAAAGAATCGGCTAAAAGAAGGGAGCCGACGTTAACGAAGGTAATAGGCCGTGGGCCAACCACATGAAAGTCCTCAAGAAAAGCAGTTACGTTGCCCAAATTTGCAGAATAAAATATTTCGATACAGACTTACGTTTTGAAGTGTGCTGAATTCAATTCTTTTTGTTCCCAAGTCTGAAACCCCGCAGTTTTTATGTAAAATCGCATTGAATTCTATATTATTTGCTGTCAGCATGTTAATTTGTTTCCTGCATGTCACCGGGTATTTTACCCCGTAACCATGACAATAGTGGCGTTGGCATGAAAATTTTCCCGGTATCTGCTGCGTTTCCATGACAACAGTCGGCTTGAACGAAACAAAATGGCCGACGAAGAGACACAGGGCAAATCTTGTTTAGTCCATTTAAAAGGCGTTAAGGAAAAGATAAATACTTTTACTGAGCAAACTTTCACTAAATTTAAAAACTGTCGACTTCAGTGGCTGCAATTACCAGGTACATCGTCAGAAATAGCTCACGAGAGTCTGAAAATATGTGCGAATGAAGAACTAGATTTTTCTAAGTACTATTTCCATAAGTACTGTTACCGCCAATTTACCGACGTAACAAAGATAAGAAGGGCAGAATCTAAGCAGCAAAAGCTCCTAGCTGTAGAGCAGTCGGAAATAAATCAGTGTGAAGTTGCTACCGCCTCGATTAATCCAAGAAAGCGTACACGTTCTGCCATAATATCACCGTTAGTCGAAATTCCTGCGAGAAATAATGAGGTTCTTCCAAATGTATGTATTATATGCAAGAAAGAAAAGATATATGTAAAAGATAAGGTAAGCATTTGGTAGTATAGAAATTATAGCTAAATTTGCCATCCTATTTATTTATATTACATAGCACTTTATAAAAATTGTATATGAATGATATATACTATAATTATTACCTTGCAATATATTAAGCTTGATGTCATGTGCACGACCTAAATATCTTTTTTTTATTTCAGACAACTCAAAAACGTGTTTTAGCAAAATTGCACACTGCAGAAACAGTTGATGCAGGTTTATTGCGACGTGCTGCAGAACAGAAGAATGACGAGTCAGTACTTCACTATATAAGAGGAAAGGATTGTGTCGCGATTGAAGTCCATTACCATACGAGTTGCTACAAATCATATACACAGTTTCTGTATAAGCGATCTCCAGGACAGGGGCATTTGTATCTAAATGCGTATGAGAAATTTTGCCAGGATGTAATTGTTGAAAAAATTATACAAAAGCATAATGTATACCGGATGACCAAGCTGTTTCAAAAGTTCCTTCATTACGTCAATATGGTAGAGGAAAAAGATGCATCTAATTATAAAGCATCTCGTCTTAAAACGAGGTTAAAAGTTGACTACCCACAACTGGTATTCTTTGCCCCTTCTAAATGCACACAAAGTGAACTTGTTTATGTTGAAGCGGTCTCTGCCGGTGAAGTCTTAGATAATTTACCTGATTCTGCAAGTAATTCTGGGTCTGAATATGAGTTGTATGATGAAGAAGATAATCAACAGACAAATTGTCAACAACAGTCTTCTTTTCAAGTTGAAAATAACATGCACTTGCTTTATAGCGGAGCCATGCTCCTGCAAACATTAATCAAAGGTGCTCCGGAGTTTGATGCACCTTGGCCTCCAACATTTTATGACATTACTCTAGAGAGTGCAAGGAAAATGGTCCCAATTCCACTGTATAATTTCTTAGCATGGGTATTAGGCATGACTGATGATCCAGGATTTGATGACTATGCAAAAGTAACGGCAGAAGAGAATGCCAAATTGCTCTCCCTGGCACAAGATATTATTTATGTTTCACATGCTGGTCGGAAACCAACACCTAAACATTTGGCTCTCAGCATGACAATTTGCCAGATGACAGGATCTTCCGGACTGTTGAAGATTATCCATGGATTTGGGCATTGTGCATCTCATTCAACCACACTGAGGCATGACACAGCTCTTGCAGAATTAAATCTGCAAAGTTCAACAGTGGTGCCTAAAGAAATTCTTCCAAACAAGCATACAACACTAATTTGGGATAATGATGACTTTCAGGAAGAATCTAAATCATCTACGCACATTACTAATGGAATTGCAGTACAAAGAGCTTTGAATGAGGATGTAATTACTATTCCGCCATTAGTAAAGACGAGAAGAAAAAGCTTAGATGATCCATGCTGTGAATTGATGCCATATTCAATAGGAAAGAAAAAGTCCATTGATGTGTTAGAGCAGTGTTCTGATCTTGAATTTGAAGAAGAGTGTCATTCTACTCATCAGATATCTGCAAATAAACTGGATTTGGTATACTGCCTTTTAAAGCTATCCTTCATTGATAATTCAGAGCTTCTTCCTGATTGGACAGGATTCAACACACTGCTATCAAGAAACGATACTTCAGCTTTAAATTTGTCAAGAATAGGTTACCTACCAGTTATTGAAGGATCTCCAACACAGTACACAACAGTTTACACAGTTTTCGTAAAGAGCTTAGAAATAGCTGCCAAGTTAAATCTTGAGTATGTAGTTCTTGTGTTTGATGAGGCCATATATGCAAAGGCCCAACAGATTCGCTGGAAGAATGAAAGTTTCATGGTCAAAACTATTTTGCGTCTTGGTGATTTCCACGCAGTGATGAGCTTTTGTGGAGCGATATCAAGGATCTTTCAAGATGCAGGTTTAAGGGTATGTAATTTATAAGCCAATGCATGTGCACATGAGTGTGTATCCATTTAATACTTGTATGTTGTTGTTTTTCATCAGGATGTACTTGTAGAATCTGGTGTTGTGGGACAAAATACTGTTAATGGAGTTATGAGTGGGAAATTCTATAATGGGAGTGTGAAATGTCACAAAATAATGCACGAGGCTTTGGAGATTATCCGTTTCCAATGTTTTATGGACAATTGTTCCCCAGAACGTGCATGTGAAATTGAATCATTGTTGTGCAACATTAGAGATGCTTTCCTGAATGAAGAATTCTATGACTACCTTGAATCACCAGAACTGAAAGGGATAATTGACAAATATGAAACATTCATTGAAATGGCATCCAAGCAATTTCCAACCTTCGCCCTGTGGTCTACTTACATTGAAATAACAGGTATCTCTGTATCAATGTATGCTAATCTGGATACCTTTATGTAAAATACACTTTTTCGAAAATTTAATATAAAAGAAAGCCAATTATTTTCCTTTTCTAAGCTGTTTGATTATGAAACTCAGACACGTCTTGAAAGCATTTGCTTGAGAAATCAATTTTTTTATCTTTTCTATCTTACAATCCTGTAGAATCCCATGCATAAAAATAGTCTTCGTTGCTACTGTACCTACAGTGGAACCCCACACTCAAGGAACAAAAACACACATGCACTATATGCTACTACACTTTGACGAATTTCTACTTTTGTTGACTACTCTAGCTTGTTGATGAAGTTTATCAGAGCAACACGGGAAAGTGATTGGAATCTCCATTTGTCATCTTTACGATCGATGCTCCCGTTTTTCTTTGCCGCCGACAGAGTAAACTACTCTAGATATGCCACAGCTTACTGGCTAGAAATGATAACACTTGACAAAACTCACCCAGGTTAGATACGAGTGCTATTTTAGATTGATATTTAGTAATATTTTAAGACCCATTGCACCTACTGTATACTGATCCATAGCAAAATTTACAATATATAATACATCATTTTAGCTCATTTGTATGTATACTGCAACGAGTTTAAATAATTCATTTAAACTTGTTCTGTGAAGCTCAAAATCCACAACGGCAAAACCTCTAACTTTAAGCGTGAGAAATGCAAGGACGCGAAGCTTTTGTTATTATAGTATCAGTTCGCAAACACACATTCATGCTTCCATTTATACTCAGATATGCAAGTCCACTGTGTTTTACTGAACAGTAAATTTATATTTCGCCATGAAGGTGCTGCCAAGAATATTCGCGAAAACTGGACGGTTCAAAGGCAAGATCGCTACGGTTTCTCTGCAATTGCCTGTGATCAGGCAATTGAGCAAACTGCGAACAGGGACTCGAAGACCAAGGGTGGCATGATTGGCTTTACGCTAAATCGTGGCGCTGTTCACAGATGGTTCTTATCTCAGTCCGAGAGATCTGCTATTGCTAGACAATGTTTGTTAATGACCAGTGCAACAAATGAGTGCAGGTGTGTTGAATGCAAATATGGAAAATTAACTATTATGCTGTGGAATAAAAAGTATACACTGCACCCTTTTTCGAGGGGTGTATCACTTCAAATAAGTGAAGGACATTTTTGGTATTTAGAAAATGAGTATTTTTTTCGAAGCGTAAGAGATTTTTGAAGTGACACACCCCTCGCTCTGGCTGCATGACTTATGTTACCGTCTTGTGTTGTATTAATTTGGTAAATTTCCATAAATTATAGAACAAGAAAGAATCTTGATGAACCAAAAAGAAAGTCACACGAAGCTGACGTTCTTAGCGTTATGAATACGATAGAAAACACCATTAATCCATTCGAACTAGACCAAAGCGAGATGGTGCATATAACAAGTGGAATAATTGCAAATGACAAGGTGAAAAATGACCTGCAAAATGTTAAAGCGATAGGTGAGGAGAGATTATCTACTTTTGTGCAGACAAAGTTACTATCTAAAGAACCAGATATTTTTGCAGCAATCCAAAAAACAAAACTGCATACATTTTCATCATTAACGAAACCTGTTTCCACGACTAAAGCTAAGGGAAAGGAAATATCTTTAAAGAGCTCTAGAAATTTGATGGGAAAACTCTTGTTATTGGCAAGCAGTCGAGAAATAGATTTAAAGGAAGTTCTGTCGTTTTCATTGGGTCCGTATCCATTAAGTCTTGCGACAACTGATGGCATCATGGTAAAAACCGTGAAAGCAAACTTGATGCACATCATCGAAGATATGGTAGATGATTCTGTCACTGATGTTATCCCATCAAATGGAGCGCTGATCATTGATGCTATGGCTATGTTTCAATCACTTAGTCAGGTTCCTCCCACGTTTGAAGAGCTTCCTCCGCTTCTCCTTTCTATCCTTATTTCTATGGCAACACGCCTGAATGCAACGAGAGTTGATTTTGTTGTCGATCGTTACCCGAAAGTGAGTATTAAAAATAGCGAACGCAAGAAACGAGCTTCTACAGGAAGTAACATGTTAAAGATTTACGGAAAAAAGCAAAAGACACCAACACAATGGAAGAAATTTCTCAATAATGGCGAAAACAAAGAATCGTTGGCATGCTTCGTGGTCGACGAATGGAAGGAGAGCAAATCCGAGAATTTTAGAGGAATAGTACTTTACGCAACACGAAAGGATCAGTGCTTCAAGTTCCTCCCATCGCATAACGAATCAGAGAAACCCGAATTCGAACAGATTCATGAGTTACACAGTGATCACGAGGAAGCAGATACGCGCTTGTTGCTTCATGCTAATCATGCATCGACCTCTGGCTATACTCATGTTTTTGTGAAGAGCCCGGATACAGATGTATTTGTTCTTCTTGTAGCCAAAGGAAACCATTTAACATCTCAAATGTATTTTGTAACTGGAAACAACGCAAAGTCCAGAATTATTGACATAACAAAGATCGCAAGAAGTTTGGATGATGACATATGTGATTCTTTGATCGGTCTTCATGCATTTACAGGTTTGGAATAATAAAATTATGTGACTGTGTCCCACTCATGGCAATTAAATATCACTTTTCGTCATATCCGTTTTTTATAACAGTGTTGCTAAGAGTACGAGGGAACAAATAAAAATATATTCCCATACGGATGCATTCAAATTTGGCTTTGTCCCTATAGGTAAACGATTTGATTATGGGCACACGATGTCGTTTTTCCGGTTTTTATATGTGGTTTGTTACCAAAAGAATAGAATTCCTGCAGCGGTTTAATTGCCTAAAACATCAGAAAAAGGATGCCGTGTGCTCATGGTTTATTTGGGTGGTATAAGACATTGAACATTTGTGCACTAAATGATTTAAAGCATGTATGTTTTATTTAGGATGCGATACAACAAGCGCATTCTATGGGAAAGGGAAGAAAAAGACATGGAAATTGATGGTGGAAAAGAAAATGTTTGATGGTTTTCGACAATTAGGGTCATGCTATTTTCCGTCATCCGAAACATTCCAGCACTTAGAGAAATTTGTTTGTGCGTTATATGGTCAAGATGGAATTAGGCACGTTAACGAGGCTCGGTATCGTTTGTTCAAGCTCGGAAATTTTTCTGATGAAAATCTACCTCCAAATAAAGATTGCCTATATCATCATATCAGACGTGTAAATTACCAAACACTTATCTGGAAAAAGTCGTTTGACGCAGTCATAAACGCGCCTGATCCTGCTGAACATGGATGGGTTATCAACAACGACGAAATTGAGCTCAAATGGATGTCAATTGATGCAGCCCCAGAGGAATTGCTTCAGTTTGTAAATTGCGGTTGCAAAACAGGATGCAAGTCCAATAGATGTGGCTGCAAATGAGCCAATTTACATTGTACTGAACTTTGTAAATGTGAAAATTGCAACAACAGATCCCAAGACTCAGATGATGAAGAAGATATGATCAACAGTAACTACGAGGATGAAAACTTGAGCGATGATGAATAATTTTATCCTACCTTTACTTGTATCCAAAGTTTGCATGGTGCTAATTTTAGCCTGATTAATTAATATTATTGCGTACAGCTGTAAGAATAATCTAAAGGCGCGGACCCGATTAGAAAAATGAACCATTAGAAAAGTGATGATTGGTTGGGGAGGGGGGGGGGAGATTCGCGCAAAGGAAAATAAAAGAAACAAGTACTAGTGCAAAGAGGAAAGCATAGGAAAATACCTTTAAAGTTCCAAAAAAATTCCAACATCAGACACGGCAGAAAACAAATTAGTGCAATAGGTAACACCCCCCCCCCCCCAATCAAGTTCCTAATTTGACATGTAATCATCATTATTTCACATGGACTAAATTTCGGCGAAAAACAGATATTGAAATACAAAAATTATGCAAAATAACATAGCTATTTTCTTGGTATTCTTTGTATCTGGAAAAACTATACACCAAAAGCAGTTTCGGCGGTATTTTGAAAGTAAATTTACATAGCGCGCGAGAGCCTGGTACCAAATATCGCATTTTTGAGTGATGTGTTTTCATTGAGTAATGGCGGTTTGTATAATTTTTGAATTTGAAAATATGAATATTCAATGCGATTTTACATAAAAACTGCGGGGTTTCAGACTTGGGAACAAGAAGAATTGAATTCAGCACACTTCAAAACGTAAGTCTATATCGAAATATTTTATTCTGCAAATTTGGGCAACGGCATTAAACGAAAATCACTTGTGGCCCACGGCCTATAAGTTTGTTTTAAATATTGATTTTATAATGGCTTTAAAACCCGACGGCTTTTGCGTATATGAAACAACTAAACAAGACAGCATATAATATTCCCTTTTTTATTATATTGAATTTTTTAAATAAAAAATAAGCAAAGTTATTTGCAAGCGAGAATTTGAAATAATTTTATTGCAAACTCAAAGTTTATTGATAAAGCCATTTAATAGCTAAAGGCAAGCTAAAAGCAGTTTAGTTTTATAAAGAACACTTTGGAACGTTTCGTGAATTGTTTGTGGTTGAATTTTACTTTAAATTGAAGCTTGTATTACGTATAATTACATACCTAACATATATATGTTGGGAAATTGATAATTTTGTAATTAAAAGTGATATTTAGGCGATTTTCATTTGTAAGAATGTTCTTAAAAAATTATCTTGTTACCATGACAACTACTTTAGATACTTCATGTTCGGAAAATACAATGGTTTTGTCAGCAAGGCGAGGGTTTCTGCATGCATGTATTTTCTAGTAAGTCTTTAAAGAAGCCCATATAGCTTTATGATCACTGAAGTAGGTTTCTAGAATGCCAGCATGAACACTCTCTTCCATCAAATTTGTGTATACATGATCAATTAAGGTTTTACTATCAGTTGTAAAGTTTGTTATTAATTGGCTGTAGTCATTTTCAATGACCATCAGGTTATACAGCGATTGTCGGTCAGATTCTACCATCCAGTTTACATTAAAATCTCCAATAATTATGTTTTGTGAAGAGGAATCTTCATCAACAATAGTACGAAGTGCAGAAAGTAGGTGTGATAAAGCAATGCTGGGAGAACGATACAACCCAACTATAGTTAAATTTGGGTGACTTTTGGTTTTAATAATTGACCTCAATTCCATTTAAATTGTGAGCATAAGGATATCCTTCTTGCAAAGGGATTCGACTATAAACAGCTGTTCCACCATATGGTCGCCCAGGACCAGAATATTGAGAAATATCATTTCTAAATAGGCTGTAACCATCAATATTGTACATTTCATTAGGATTCAATGAGCTGAACCTAGTTTCAGTAAATATTAAAATGTCAGTAGAGGAATAATTGATGTCTTTTCGAACATCTTCAATGTGTTTATGCAGAGATCGAGTATTGAGGTAACAGACTTTTAAATCAGAATGATCCAACATATATAGTGGTGTAAAACAAAGCTTTAAGCTATGTTCTGTTCCGAACATTTCCATTTCTTTAACAACTCTTTGATCAACAGATATTTTATCTTCACATAGGTCAGTGATATACAACCCTTCAATTGTTGTAACTCGACTTAAAGCAACATAATGTATATGAGGAATAGCCCTGTTAGTATTTAAGTTCACAACTATTTGTGATTGGGTATCACCCTGTGATATATGAACAGTTTTGGCTGATGCTGGCCGTAATGGAAATTGCTTTCTTACAACTTGAGCTGATTTAGTTCTGCCCACCGCAAATTGTGTTGTAACAGGTTTAATTGGTGTCCACATACTTTCAATACCTCTAGAATATAGAGTTCTGTTTTCTTGTCGGGTCTTTATGCCAACATCTTCATGGTCAAACTGCACCCAAACAAGACCAGATGGTTTACTTTCATCTATTAATTGTATTAATTTTATTATGTTACTAGCACCATTTGTAAGACCATCATCAGTTCGCACATCAACTGCCATTTCTGTGCGTTGCCCTACAGCAAGTTTTAGTTTACGAGCTAACTGTTTAGAGTTTCTTAATGAAACATAAGGTATTTGCCTCATTATTTTCTCTTTAAGCTCAACAGAACATGCTCCAATAACACTATCTTGTGCATTAATTACATATTTATCACCACTAAATGATTCATACACTTTTTCATTATGGTCGTCAACGAAAGCATTTTGAATAAACAAACGTGGTGCTTCTTTTGGACAACTAGATTCTTCAACACATCTCTCCTTCAGTTTTTGGAGGTCACTGGAGGTATGTTTACCTTCTCTTAATCTATTTAAGATTTCAGCAAACTCTTTGCTCTCTCTTTGTCGCATAATCTCATCAAGCTCAAACATTCTGAAATATCTTTTCCATAAATTTGGAGCAAGAGTATTATAAGAACTTAAAGACTGAACATCATTGAAAATGTAGCCATCCATGACAGGTTTAAGTTGAAACAAATCACCTATTGTAATGATGCTAACACAACCGAAGTCTTCTTTACTTCCTTTTAAATCATTTAAACGGTTATTCAACTGAATTGTAAACATGCTGTTTCCAACCATTGATATTTCGTCAAGTAGTATCAACTTCAATGCACCCAGTTCACATCTTAATGTGTTTAACCTACCAGAATCAAGTGGCTTATAATTCTTAAGTGATTGACTTGCTGGGACTGCCAAAGCACTATGAATCGTGTTACCTTTAATAAGGTAAGCTGCTTTCCCTGTAGGAGCAAGTAATAATACATGAGCGCGACGGAAATCTTCACCAGCTTGTGTATTATAGTATTTTAATGCTGCTTGATAAATTGATTTTATGAGATGAGATTTACCAACACCACCACTTCCACTTAAGAAGGCATAAAATGGTTTATCAGCTGATGTTTTAATTAGATGCAGAGCATGGTAAAAAATTCTCTTTGTTTTTTATTAAGCATTTGAACTAATCTTCGGTACTCACCATCTTGCATTTCATTTAGAATGAGTGGTTCATTTCTGGGTAATGTTGATGGGATACCCAAATCCTCTGATAGGTCATATGATTCATTCAAATCCGGATGTGTATCTGTATTACCTTCGTTCTCATCTTGACGTTCAGTATCTTGTGTGACTGGTGCTATTGTGTCATACAAATCATCATCATGTTGCTGTAAACTATGTTGAATTTCATTTAAGTCTTCACTACAAACTTCATATTGTCTCATCTGCTCATTTATCTCATCATGCCGAGCTATATAGTGTTCTTGAAAAGAAGAAGAATTTTTTATTAAATCTGTTTGTTCATTCCGCCATGGAGTAAAGAGCATGATCAACTCGCGATAATGTTTTTCCGGTTGAGCTTCTTTATTAAACCAAACACTGCGAATAATTCTAGAATGCTATCTTTTTTTAATTGATTTTTTAGACGTAATGCAACTTTCAATCTTTTCATGACAAAGTTCATCATCATTATTCTCATCTTCATCTTCCAATGGAAGGTTGTCAACATCTGAATTTTTTAGTGTTTTTTTATATTTGCTTTGTCCACAAGAGTCATACCATGCTGCCCAGTCAGCTAATGTAACATTTTGTAAACAATCTGGTCGTTCAACATATCGTTTGAAAAGACCACCTGAATGGATTTCTTCAGATTCATCTGACATTCTCTCAATTTCACTTAACGGTTTCAGCAGTTCAACCCGATCACATGATAGAGATGTGTTAATGAACACCACATTTCGAGAAGACTTGCGCATTGGAAGTTGAAGAATGATATACACTGCCTCTTGTGCACTTATTTCTACAGAGTTTAAGAACTTGTTTCCAATATCACGAACCTGCTGCTTTATACTGGAATTGCCCTCTTTAGCTTCAGCACAAGCTTTTCGTAACAACTCACTCATTCCTTTTTGTGCCTTTGAAATGTATGAGACAATGTACATTGCACAAGCATAAACATCAAGCACAAATTGAATGTCCATGTTAGCTCTCCACGCATGGAGACATGCAGGATTATAATTATTTATTCGTAATTCATTCGGACTTCGTTTTAGAAATATTGTTGGACAATTAAGGGACGATCGAACAGCAAGAATATATTCACGTTCTGAAACATTCAGCTCTTTTAGAAGCTGGTCAAATGTAATGACTTTACCCTCTTTTAGATCATTCAGTTTATTTTTTATATCTTTCCACAAGTCTTTTGTGTTTCTTATGACACTCTGAGAAGTATCATCATCAAGTGGATAAAGTATCTGTGTAGATCTGATTGGTGGCTGAGGGTAGTTGAATCTACAAACATTTTTTTACCTTTTTTGGCATGTGTGGGAGTGCCTGTGAGTTTGCCTGTTTACAAGTTGAATTCATTCTGAGTTATTTACTGGTTTACTACAAGTAATTATTTTGTCAATGAATGCAGTAACATCTTCATCTTTATCAACACCAAATACAGGTGAACTTTCAAGCCATATTAACATGTGAATATGAGGCGAGCCTCGCTGTTGATATTCAACCCTGTAAAACCAATCTTTTATTTTTCCTAGAGGAGCAATATCACTCATTTAAAATTGTTTTAAAAAAGTATTGAATTGGTAGTCAAAATGCCTTGCACATGTTACTGGGTCACTTTGGATCAGTCTACACTTTTCATCCCATGTAAGATTTTCTAAATCTTCGTCACTATAGTCTTTGTGATCAATAAGTTTACCAAGGATTTTTAATAAATGGATCCATTTTGTCTCCACAGAAGAAAAACTACAGAATAGTGATGCTGGCCCTAACTGCCGAATCATAGCAAACAAGTCTTTTTTAGCTTTTTCAAAGTAAGGTGGAGAACACCTCTCAAGGCTCGTAAAAATTTGTAACCTTCATCATGGCTAATTAAATTTGCTAAGCCTTCCGGTGTTTTCAATTGCCCAGCAGTAATTGTTCTATTTCCCACTTTACATTTTCGGAGAGCAACTTGCGATTGTCCCAGTAATAATTTCATTTGTAATTTTTTAGCCTTAAAAAATATGTTCTCAATACACATTGCAGCTCGTCGATCAGACCTTCTAAGTTCTGATTTGCATATTTCACTGTAATAAACAGTTTTCAGTCTTTGTTTCTCATCTGGTCTTTTCTGACCTAAGAATATTCCAGGGTAAGCTAATTCATTCCTCTGAAAACTGATCTCTAAATATACTGAGTGGTCTACTACCTTCTCCTGGTGCAACATTGTATATGTGTTGTCGTTCATTATCATCTAAAAAATCTGCAGCAGTTAGCATAGTATCAGTTACGCCAGCAGGTGTCTCTGCTTCATCCTCACTCCATTCATCTTCTGGAGCAGCTAAAGTAGTTTGATCAACTAAACTATTTGTATTCTCATTGCCACATTCTTCATTTGATATTGTTGGATCAAAGTATGTTATCCAGTTCTGATCAAAGCTTATTCCTTGCTCTCTATATAAATCACTAGTATTTACTAACCAAGCAGCTGCTTGCATGACTTTGTTAGGTCTTACATTTAAAGACAGCGCAGAACTTTTATACTGCAGTCGGCGTTTTAACTGAACTTTTATAGTACCAGTATCCTGTGCTAATCTGGGTAGCATATTAACAGTATTGCAAACATCTGCTGGAACATTGACAACATTTCCTATTATTTTAAGTTGACCACCTCTGGGGGCTTGCATAATTTTTTGGAATGCCAATCGTGGTGCTATTAATCTACATTCCAACTCATTTAAATCAAAGAATTCAGGTTTTGTTGGAAATTTGAAGCCATTTGCAATTGCACATGGTGGTAGTTTATTTTTTTTCAAATGGTTGTTACAAGTCAAACAAAGCCACTCAATATTATCTACACTCTTGATTCCTTGCAAATACTGTATAGAATTTGTATTGGACAATCTCAGTCTATCAGCAGGACAAACACTATGTTTATACCATAACTGGTCACAACATGAGCATATGTATAACGGACCTGTTGAAACAGATTTATGAAATTTATCTATTAAGTGTAATAACTCATCATCCTGTTGTTGGTGCACATTAGGGCTAGACTTGGTTTCTTTAGTTGAATTTTTATAAGCTCTTACTTTTGCTAATCTTTGTTTTCTTTGTTCTGATGTTTCATTTTTTCGCCGTGCTCTTCTATAATCTCTTTCCTTTGCAAGTCTTTTTTCCTTTTCTACAACAGACTCATTTTGTCTTTTAGCTCTCTGGTATGCTTTACATTTTAGAAGCCTTTTTCTTTTTTTTCAATCGACTCAATTTTTCGCTGAGCTGCCTTCCAATCCCTTTGTTTTGCAAGCCTGATATTTGTATTTTCCTTTGATAGTTCATTTTCTTTGGTGGATGTATTGTAAAAATTCCCTGCAGTTAAGCTGTTTGATAGGTCATTGCTTTTATGACATTTAACACCTTTTAATTCAAATAAGTTGCCAAAATTCTGGCTGTCAGAGTTTCTAGTGAGTTGAAAAAAATTCACAAGGTTCTCAAGTCCCTCAACAGAAATCAATACGCTATATCCGTTTGCAAATTGCATTCCATGCATATCTAGTGAATGAGAGTCAAAAATTTTAAACACATCTGGAAAGGGCATAAACACAGCAACAGTATTTGCTCCTATAGTTAGTAAACATGTTTTGTAATTACCAATACCAAATACTTGATTAAAAGAATGTTCAAGTGTAACATGAGGTTCATTGTTATGATCCATTAATAAAGCCCCAGAAAAGGACTCACTGTATTCTAAACAAAAAGTATTTGTATCGATTGAGACCATCTCTGGTACCTCTGTGAGCAACAAGAAATCTTTTTGAACATGCTGACTAATGAAACTATAAAGACTGTTTCCATTAATTAGAATTCTATTCATAATTGATGTATCCCAGATGTTTATAGACTTTATTTCATTGTATAAAATCGCATAGATCGACATTGCAACACATTGTTTACCAGCGTTACTTCCAAACATTGATGCATTACCTTGATTAAAATCTGCACAAACTGTAAAAGTAGGATCAACTATTTCATTAACATCGGTGGGACCTGGATTTTCCTCAACATCATTTGAAAGTCTCAATAATAATGGTACATAAACATTATAGCATACAATCTGTGCATACCACATGCACACCTCATTATTTTTTTCGGTTTGTTTAACAAGATTTTTTAAGCATGGCAGATAAAACACTTTTAAATAAAACATCATCAACATTTGGTTCCAAATTTACCTTTGAGTTGAAACATGGCCTTCCGGGCTTGTACAAAGTTATCATGTGAACCAATTCTTATTCGATAATTCTCAATAGAAATACCCATACTTTAGCTTTCTCACTGTGTAAAAAGTTTGTTGTATTGTATTAGTATACTTGCACAATGGCAAGATTGTTTGACAGTTGTACTGTAGTTTGTGTTTGTAATAAACCCGCACAATGGCTAGGTGTGACTGTTTATAATAATAAATTCCCAGCACAATGGCAATGGGTCTGATATTTTCACCCGCACAATGGCAAGTTTCAACTTTGATACGTGCCCTTTCACGCAAATTCAACCTGATCTAAGATCAGTGTGAGCAACAATGGCCCCTTTTCAATGGCAAGTTTTAACTTTGATATGTGGCCTTTCACGCAAATACAACCTGATCTAAGATCAGTGTGAGCAACAATGGCCCCTTTTCAAATGTAAAAATACGACAAATAGTTTCACAAAAACAACAGAATAAAATAATATTTGGTTGAAATCAACCAAACTTTACTCACCTCTGTCAAATTTGAAATTTGAAGCGGAATATCAACGCAATTTTCCGTCACAAATCACAATATATAGCCTCTGTTTCCAAGTCAAGTGTACAATGAGCACATGCGAATGCGAAAGTCACATGACCCAATCCTCATCGTGTTATCGTAACGTGATCGTAATTTAAACAATGCTGGCGCCTTATCTTTGGATTTTCCCGGTAAACAATCGTAACTGTCACGTGACTGGACAAACTGACAACTTTTTTACCGTAACAAAGTGGCTAGCCATATATGGCTTGCCACAAAAACTGAATCGACTGACAAAAGCCCAACACAACTCACAGTTTTTGCTATTGCCTTCAACTCTTCGCAATAAAGAAGCCAAAAATCTTTAAAGAAATATCCGTAAGTGAATTTAAGTGAATGAGAAACTCAGCACAATGTGAAAATAAAAAGTTTGATATAGAATTGCAGCAACGAATGGACGAGCAAACTCCAAATAAAAACAACAACAAACTTTATTGCAAAAGCTTAGTGGAATTCCCAAGTTATATAAAGCTTCAAAAGTTTACAAAGGCCTAACAACAGCTGACGTAGAGGTAAGAAATTTCAAGAAAATCCAGTTAAATTAAAGGTTATCTAATGGATAGTTAAAAGCGGTACTAAACAGGCTTCATGCAACACAATTTTATCGGCGTTTAACTATCTGCTGGATAACAAATTTATACGCTAGATAGCGGCTAAACACCTTTTAAGTTAAACGCCTTTGATACCACCAGCCCCAGACCTGCAAATAATTCTAGCCTTTATTGGATCAGACTATGCTAAACTTTGGTTATATTGAAATATTTACAAATATAAACAACAGCATTTATTTATACTGGGCTGTAAAATGATGTGCTGCATTGTTCCAGGGGAGGGGATCTGGGGATGGTTATAACCAGGGGCGGACCCAGTTCCCAAGCTGACTGATGCCCAAAACCTCGCATTTGTAGGGGGTTCTGGGGTATCCTCCCCCAGAACATTTTGAAATCTAGAACCTCGGAAATGCGATTTCCTGCATTCTGAGCAAACTCTTTTGTTCCAATTCATACATCAGAGTCACAAAATTATTTGCTGCATTTTTGGAAAGCACATAAAAACTTGAACCTATATCCAAAAAACAACATAATTTCTCCATATAAGAAAAATATTTGCTTGTACAAGTGTAATAGCAGCAGTGGTACATAAGTCTCTATTCAAAAATAGTCAGTACTGTGCTTCTTGTAGCCTTAACTTTTCTATTGAAAAACATTTCGGAAAAAAATTACGACAACGCAAATACACACGTTGTTGGCATCGGTATGTCAATTTTATTCGCCCCTAACAATAGGCTTTGATATGAACTGCATGGTGACTAGCCCATACTCTAAAATTACTGAAAATATTGCCCTGTCACCAGGAAACTAACACAAAACAAGCACTGAGTTTTAAAATTCTATAAGTATAACTAGGTACACATGACCCCAAACTTCAAATCAATAGATACATAGTGATACTGTGTGTAAATTGATTTAATGAACTATCTTAGTTCAAAATTGTTTGTCAAATGAACCTGCCAAACTGTACAATGATAAACAATATATCATGACATAATTGAATCATCAGATGTCTTCTATCAGTCCCTTTTTGCCTGCCTTTCAACTAAGGCCTGTTTCATACGTCGAATTTAATTCAGATGAATTTAATTCGTTATTAAATTCGTCAATTAGTCGACACTAAAATGGTTTCGTTTCAAACGACGAATTTAATTCAGATGAAATCATTTCATGATTAGCTGCGATCATGTATTACCCAGAAATAAAAACCACAAGACCAGAAAAAGCGAAACAGACTTTAACATAATTTATGCATTTAATTAGACACAATAACACATTGAATAACATGTATGAAATGAAGACACGCTACACGCTATCAGTCTGACCATGACGGATAAAACGTCTTGGACAAATTTAATTCATCAGATGGATTTAATTCGTTTCATATGATGCACTACCGTCGCATTTAATTTGTTCAATTAAATTCGTCTGAATTAAATTCAATGATAGTGTGACATATGAAACGGGCCTAATATGCACAGTAGTATTGATCAATATTTTTCCTGTGTTATTATATAAATGCACATCTTTGTCAAATATATCCATACACTTATCAATGGTAATCCTCAGGGTGCCATGCTGGCTATCCAAAACATAGTATTGGGAGAATTAGCACTGCAAATATATATAATTTAATTAAATCTATACCACTTTTGTGAGCAAATTTCATAATTATAACCTATATACACCAGTTACAGTTATATACAGTATTTATACTGTCCATCATTCTAAGATTAAAATGTATCAAGAGAATACAGTATCAAGAGAATACAATTAAAATGTATCAAGACATATACAGCTTATATCAAATTATACTTGCACCGACAAAGCATACGTACTCAACTATGGTAGGCGAGCAAACCCAGGTAATGATCTTTGATTTGCCAGTCCGGATTTGGCACACTCGCAATTTCCGCACATTCTAATTATTACTGGTGTCACTTTTCAAATCGCAAAAAATTCACGAACTAAGTATTACACTCTCATTACTCTGTGACATTGTGCAATCTGAAAATGGAAACTAATGCGAAGCGAAAGCACCCTGAGAGAGGATTTTATGCAAGTCTAAAGGATGGAGTTTGTCTAAAACCCAAGAGAGTGGCCTGCAAGCGTTTGAGAAAGGCAGACCAGGCAAAATTTTACCCTATTGAGGTTAGTACGATTGTCTATAATTTTATAAATTCGCTGCTCATTGTCTGTCTGTTTATATAGTCATTGTTATGTTCTATATGCTTTACTTTAGGACGTATAGTCAATGTTTATACGCATTTATTCCATTGGCATTAATATAATTTTGCCACTCGTTTAGATTGTTGAACGGGACAAAGTTAAAGTTCACTATATAGGCTACCCAGCCAAAGACGACGAGTGGAGAAGCTGTTATGAACTTAAAGGAAATGGAGACTTTGGTCAAGTTATACAACGCTATCTGCCAGATCGTTACTGTATGAAAGAGTGGACCACGCTATTGTTTGACCGTTTGAGGAGGAAGATTAAGCTGTCGTTGTTCTCCACAAAAAATTGCCCAAAGTAAGGGTCAAACAAGAAATTAAAATGGACGTATATGCGCATTGCCTCAAGGGAATTGGTAAACTAAGATTTGACAAAGACCGAGCAGTACACTGTGTTAATTCGCCTGCAGATGCTGCGTTGGTAGAGCTTCTGGGTGAGAAATGGTCGGAGAGATTTTTAAACATTAACTATGACTTTAGCTATGTGATGAAGGGCACAATTCAGTTCGGGACCCATACCAAAGCTGCAATAAAAGAATTTGTTAATATTGGTGGGAACCTTTTTGAGAACCAGATTGAAAATGAAATTGTTTTTGGGTTTACATTTGTTAGAGGAGATGGAGTAAAACAGGAGTATACTAATAATGAGGATTGGAAATACTAATAAAATCTGTATGTGCATCAATTTATATATTATATATAGTTATAGTAAAAACTTTTGAATCTTGTCAACCATAAAAATCACTCCATAAAAATCACTCCATCATTTTTGAATTTTAGCAGAATTCTTGAACTTGGGTACAACCACGTCTATCTTGATATTTTGGAATAACTTAAGTTTTTCAGGCCCTGTTAAGTCTCTCCACTTCAGGTTCTTGCTGTCTCTGCATATATACCAGTAAAAAGGAATCTTCAACATTTCGTTGAGGTACTTCTCCCAACCTGCCACATGTATGTATCTGGATCTGTCAAAACCTTTATTAAAAGACTTCTTCTTGTCAATCGCATCTTCCTTTCGTAACTGAAGTATTAAGAGATGGTCAGGTTGTCACATATTCTGAGAAATAGGTGCAAAGGATCAATGATAACATGGTCAAGGGGAATTGATGGGAATAATGGAGCATGTTTTACATTATAATATGTTGCCTGGCACTTTTTTCTTAACAGGTCTTGAATTTCTTTAATTGTCCTTGCTCCCTTGGATTCATCTAGTAAGGACCATGATTTTGTAGGATCGTAGTGGTCATACAGAGAGCATTTGCACCGAATACATGGTTGGGTACCAAGATCACAAATACAGGACAGAAATTTCCAGTCACCTCCTAGAAACCATTCAATCTCAAAGCACTGGCCCCCTATATAAATACTTGACAGTTCTTCAACTTCATTTCGAATATCAGCCAGGGCAACATACCCCTGTGGCCTTTACCACTGCAACCAAGTGGTTTCCCTCAGCTGACATTGCCTGCAATCCTTCCTCTAAGATAGTAAATGTAATGTTTATTAGATGTAAATGTTCACCGACGTTAGTTCCATCCCTGGATAACTTCACCCTTATCTTTGTTTGCCAAGGATCCCTCCTCTTGACAACCAATACTTTTACTCTGGCTTCCAGTCTGCTTTTGATAGTTTGTTGCACTCCAACAGTGTTACCAAGTGTCTGGAACAAGTTCCACTTTTTATTGATTTCTTTTATTCTGTCCTTGATTTTCCATGACCTTGGCATCTCTTTACATACCATTGATATTTCATGATATGCCAAATCTGTCTTTGGTGTATAGGAGTAAGTTGATGTAGTGAACTGCTGATTCGGTAATTAAATCTTCCAGTTCTTTGGCCAAATGCAAGGTCTCTGACTCATTAGTTGAAAAATTAAAAACCTTTACTTCAGTTGCTATAAAATCATTAGAACTAAAAAATGATAAGCCTGTTTCACAATCAGTAATGAGCTGTCCCTAAATTCTTCCCTGGTGTCTCTTTGTATAATCACTATACAATTTTTTGTGGTCAGGACCCCTCGTTCTGGTAAATAGATAGAAAAACTTTATTTATCCATGCTAACCCTGTCAACCAAGGCTGATTTCACAGGGGGCGTGTAAAAAGCAATTACAACAATATAGTATTTAAAGCTATTTACAATCTAAAATATCAACTTTGTAATATGTCATCCCACTTTTATAGGTAAAAAAGTTTGTGAGTGACTCAGGACCCATTTTATTCAAAATTTTGTACATTAGTTTTGCTTTTGCCTTTTCTCTTATTGACTGAAGTGGCTCCCAGCCCAGAGCCTGTAAAGCAATAGTGCGATCTATATTGTTGCTCATACTCATGATAATTCGAGCAGCTCCACCTCGAAGTTTCTGAAGTCATTTTGACTGTGTTTCACCATCACATCCCACACTTCACAACAATAATCAAAATGTGGACGAACAATAGACCTTTCCAAGGTTAGGGACGCCATCTTGAATCTATTGTTTTCACCATTGTGTTTGCACCCCTTGCAAATTTACCTATAGGGAATTCCATTGTATTTTCACCCCTTGCACTATTGTGTTTCATGATGGCATTGTTAACCTTGGAAAGGTCTATAGCATTATATATCGAAATAATTGTGTCTTTATTAACAAAAGGTTTAACACGACAGAGGCAGAGATTCCGGATGTTATTTTCTTGCAAATATTTTCAGTATTACTTTTCCAAGATAAACACTGGTCAACTATTTTTCCAAGAGTTTTGCATTCATAAACTTGTTTAATTTGTTTGTTTTCAACAATAATATTTGGATGAAAATTTTTTATTATTTGTTTTGAGCCAATCAACATGAATTCAGTTTTAGCTACATTCAAGCTAAGTTTATTGCCCATCAACCAGTTTCAAAGATTTTCTAGATTAGAATTTACTGCAATCTCAACATCAGTCGTTGAGTCTCCAGAAGCTGTGAGATTTGTATCATCAGCAAATAGGCGAAGTCTTGTATTATCAAGGCACTCGGGCAAGTCGTTGATGTATAATAAAAACAATAATGGTTCATAATAATATTGTGATCAACAGTGTCAAATGTTTTTAAATCAATAAAAACTGTTAAGTTAAATAGTTTTCTATTTAAATTTACATACCACTCGTTTGTACAGTCTAGTAATGCTGTGGCTGTTGAGTGAGATTTCCGGAAACCAAATTGTGAATTACTCAATAATCCAAATTCAGTTAAATAATTGTATAGTTGGTTATACACAATTCTTTCCATGATTTTGCTTATTGCTAGTAAAACTGAAATTGGCCTGTAGTTTCCTGGAATATTTCGTTGGCCATTTTTATAAAGCGGTGTTACTCTAGCTATTTTCCATTCATCAGGAAAAAAATAAAGTAATAGCCTGATTAAAAATAAATGTCAGTGAATCTGAAATAGCAGGTGCAGCTATTTTAATAATTTTGCACAAAATCTTATCAATGCCGGTCGCTTTATTGGTTGATAATCCATATAATAAATTAATTTTTTACATATGCCTTAAAGTTGCAACTGGATGTACCAATTCTATCAGTCTTACCACTGCAGAGATTCCATGAGAGAGCACGCATGCGCTGAGCTGATCATTACCATGTTTCACTGGACGCCGTTTTGGCTTGCTGATCGTGTTGAACACAAATATTTTTCAAATATCTTTATTTTTCTTGCACATCGAGTTGCAATCGACATCAATCCAGCTACTTAAAGTAGTTGTGAACTACTTTTGGCTGTTTTGTCCGGGAAATATTTTCTGGATAGAGGAAATATCCCGCTGCTAAATCATGGATGAGCTCTAAACCAGTGTGATTTCGAACCAGCCCTCGTCCAGTGAGCAAACCTCTGGTTCGGCGATGCCGAAGCCAAATACAAATGCCAAAGAAAAAACTTCGATTGAGAATGGTGGTCGAGGGAAAAAAGCGAGTGAGAAACAAACTTGCAGTGCAGAGTCGGATACTGCCGAAGGAGTTCCAAGCGAAGTCGAGGACTTCGAAAGCAAAATAAATGCAAAGATAGACAAATTAACATCTATTGTCAACGACGTTGCGGGCATGATACCCATCGTTCGCGAGCTAAAAGCAGCTTACGACGAAGACTTAGTCGCAACCGACGCCGATCTTCTGAGAAGCGATTCAGACGGTGAGAATAATAGTGTCAATAGCCAAATTGACGATTTGTCTATGGCTACAGCGCCAGCTCCGAAAAAACGAAGGCTTGACATATCAGAGGGGGGTATCGTGGATTCCCTTGTGCTCGAAGTTACGGAGAATGAGCAAACTGTTGCAGCGTTGCTAGATAAAATCGAATCGGTTTTAAATAGCATTCTGGCACATGGCTTAAATGAACAGACTGCCATTTCAAGAAAGGAAAAAATTCGCCGACCAGACAATTGTAAACTATTACAAGTAACGAAAGTCAACCAAGAAATCTGGGATATTAGCCAAAAATCAACCAGAGCTATGGATGCTCGTTTGCAAAAAATGCAAGAGATGTTGATAAAAGGCCTAACCCCTGTTGCAACACTTGCAGGTGATGTAGGTGAAGCTGTAGAGGGCTCTTCTGACATGCCTGATAGAGCTGCTGTTTGGGAGGGGTTATCTAATGCTATGGTGCTTATTGCAGGAGCCAACCATACACTAAATATGTGTCGTCGGGACCTTTTTAAGGCCGACCTTGACAAAGACTATAAAACTTTATGTAACAACAAGCACCCTGTTGAGGGTGAATTATTTGGTGAGGATTTGATTGAACGCCTCAAAACAGTGAAGGAGAGTAACAAGGCCTCCAAACAACTCAGACATTCAGACTACCCAAGGGGGTCTGACAATGAGAAAACAATGCCACAAGGACATTTTTTATCCCAACGCCGGGGGAGGAACCGTTGGCAGCAATGGGACCGCCCTCGGTTTACAAACAAGGCTGCAGCTTCGAAACAGAGATACAACAATCGGACAATGGGGAGCAAGAGGGGGAAACAGAAATAGACACTGCTTCCACAAATGTGAGTATCACACATGCTAGGGATGCTAGCAAACCTCTTTTATATTATAAAGGTGATAGTGTCGAAAGCAACACCTTTATTGCAGGCAATGTAAAAAATTATTTAGATGCCTGGCAAATGTTAACTTCTGATAGCTCTATTTTAACTGCTATTAATGGTTACAAAATTGATTTTTTCATCCAGCCTGCTCAGTTGAAAGTCCCAACTGGACTTAGGTGCTCTTCTGTAGAGGCCACCAATATTTCACTGCAAATAGGAAAATTTCTCAAAAAGGGTATTATTATAGAAACTTCATATGAGCCCAATCAATTTATTTCACCTGTTTTTCTTAGTCAGAAGAAAGACGGGACATTTCGTATGATCCTTAACCTAAAAGAACTGAATAAATGGGTTAATTATAATGATTTTAAAATGGATTCTATCCACACATGTACTGACCTTATGAAACCCAATTGTTACATGGGGTCTATTGACCTCCATGATGCATACTATTCCATCCCTGTCCACAAAGATCATCAAAAATACCTCAAGTTTGCTTCGGGTTGTAAACTTTATCAATTTACATGCCTTGCTCAGGGTTTAGCATGTGCACCACGATTATTTACCAAAGTAATGAAACCTGTATTTGCCACCCTCAGAGGAAAGGGGCATTTATCCAGTACCTACCTGGATGATTCTTGGTTAGTTGGATACTCTTATGAGGAATGCAAATCTAACATTGAGGACACGACCACAGATTAAGAGGACCAGATGTCCGACTTCATTGAAAAAAGCGTAAGGGCTTCGTCACTGCGCATGCCGTACTGCGCATAGCTTAGCAAGTGACTAGAGGCAGTCACCCCCCCGACATTAAATTTCAAAATGGCGCGCAACAATTTATTTTGAGACAACAAACATGAAAATAAACTCTTTTTATTTGCCCGAGAGAGGGATTGTGTGGTTAAATTTGTGTTTAAAACTTTCAACGTCAGTACGCGTATTGGAAAAGTGAATTCATCACACTTAGTTTGCAATATTTTACGATTTTTTCTCTTTTTCGATCGTCGTAGGAGTGAAAACTATAGGCGAAATGAAAATGCCACTTTGCTGAGGTATTTGAAGTATTTTTTTTACAATGTACGATGTGTTTTCTTGCACTTTCTACGATGTCTGATATTCATTGACATCTGTGTGCATAATTTATAGTTTACTTTGCATAGATATTAACTAGAAGTTAGATAAGTAAATTCATATATTAATAGACAACTAGATATAAAGTTTGTCGACTAGAAAATGTTTACAAATTTTACATTGTATGTATGAATGTATACATAGTATTTGTAAATATTAAGTTAATTCATCTATTACGTATTTTCTCTAATAAAAATCTTGTAACAGGAAATGTGAGTTTCAGAAAATGTGTGTCTCAGACAAAATTATTCTAGAATATTTATTAAATATCTCACCTACAAACAACAAATTCCCATGAAGAGTGATCCAATCACATTTTGTCCTGATACATGAAAGTGAGGTGCCCAGGCTAAACCGGCATACATGACATAATTATTGAAAAAGCCTAATTTGTTGTAAAAATCTGTGTAACTACTCACTTGGTAATGACTTTAACCTGCAACAAGTGTTATCATGCAACAAGTGTTATCATGCAAATGTGCAACTCCCTGTTGTTGTTATATACTAATAATATTTTACATTAACCAATTGAGTCGCATTGCGGCCTGATGCGCCCTACTTTATTGTTTCACTCTGTCTAACGCCAGACGATTTTACTTGTCAAGGGGAGAGCGCTGGCCCTTAATGGGTTAAACATTAACAAAATTAAATAGTATAAAAAATACAATTCAACCTCAATGCTCAATGAAGTGGCCATAAAGTAGACTTGGGGGGGGGGGGGGCTCCAATGTCTATTTATTCAAAAATCACTGATTACAGTAATAGGTAGACTGAAAAGATGAAGAAGTGTTAACGAACACTGATACAAAAACTTTGTGTCGACATGTGTTGAACATTATATTTATGTGTGATTAATATGTGTATAAAGCAAAATATTAAGCATGATTCGTAAAGGAGGGCTGCCTAACGGAGGTTCGACTAAAGGAGTCTCATATTGGCCGCAGTCTGGAAAGTTTGTAGTTTGCAGCATAATACTATTTTACATATTAAAACAAAAATTAGCTGCACCCTTTGCAAACTTTCCAGTCAGGAATATAGTTACTATAGATTGTGAGACTTGTGTAAACAAAACAGATTTTATAGAATGTTAAATATTGAATTCCATTTAGTCAGTGTGCTAATATCCTACACATGTAGTCTGTACTAACATTAGAGGAAACCTGTCCAATATACCCAAATTATATATTTTTGTAATTTGTTGTTTGTAGGTGAGGTATTTAATTTTAGAATAATTTTTGTCTGAGACACACAGTTTCTGAAACTCACATTTCCTGTTACAAGATTTTTATTAGAGAGTCTTTGTATAAATAGATGAATTAACTCAATATTTACAAATACTATGTATACATTCATGCATACAATGTAAAATTTGTAAACAAAACTAACTTCTAGTTAATATCTATGCAAAGTAAACTATAAATTATGCACACAGATGTCAATGAATATCAGACATCGTAGAAAGTGCAAGAAAACACATCGTACATTGTAAAAAATGACTACAAATACCTCAGCAAAGTGGCATTTTCATTTCGCCTATAGTTTTCACTCCTACGACGATCGAAAAAGAGAAAAAATCGTAAAATATTGCAAACTAAGTGTGATGAATTCACTTTTCCAATACGCGTACTGACGTTGAAAGTTTTAAACACAAATTTAACCACACAATCCCTCCCTCGGGCAAATAAAACGAGTTTATTTTCATGTTTGTTGCCTCAAAATAAAATTGTTGCCGCCATTTTGAAATTTAATGTCGGGGGGGTGACTGCCTCTAGTCACTTGCTAAGCTATGCGCAGTACGGCATGCGCACTGACGAAGCCCTTACGCTTTTTTGACTGAAGTCGGACATCTGGTCCTCTTAATCTGTGACACTACTAACCTGTTGCGAGAGTTGGGGCTTTATCCTCATGAGGATAAGTCAGTTACCACTCCTACGCAAATCATACAACATCTGGGGTTTCTATTGAATTCAAATAGATATGACTGTTTCACTTACCAATGAGAAAATTAACAAGCTTAGAGAAATAGCTCAGTTGGTACTCAGTCATTCCTCAATGACCATTCGACTAGTTGCCAAGTTGGTGGGGCACATGGTCTCCTGTTTCCCAGGGGTAGAGTTCGGGGAACTTTACTATAGACAAATAGAAATTGAAAAATCTACAGCCCTAAAACTTGCCAAGGGGAATTTTGATGCCACCATGACATTATCTGATAATGCTATATCTGATATTCAATGGTGGATTTTTCATGCCCATTTATCAAAAAAGGCTATTGATCATGGCAGTATTGATGTTGTCATGACAACAGATGCATCTTTGCTGGGATGGGGTGCCAGCAAAGGGCAAACATCTGTTGGTGGATGATGGTCTGCTGATGAACAGTAACACCATATCAACTACCTAGAACTAAAAGCAGTGTTGCTAGGGCTACAGTCTTTATGCAGTATGTTATCAAAGTGTCACATAAAAGTGTTAACAGACAATACTACTGCAGTTGCATATATCCGTAATATGGGAAGCACCCATTCTCTACTTTGCAACAGCATGGCTCGGGAAATCTGGCAGTGGTGTAAGGAGAGAGGCATATGGCTCTCTGTTTCACACATACCAGGTGTTGATAATGTTTTAGCAGATAAGGCATCACAAGTTTTTGATGACACTACTGAGTGGAAACTTAATGAAGCAGTCTCTATCAAGCTCTGGGGGAAACCTGAGATGACATGTTTGCTTCCAGACTGAATTACCAAACCTTGCCATATGTTTCATGGAGACCTGACCCACAGGCCATAGCTATTGATGCATTCACGCTAAACTGGAATTATTCTCTCATCTATGCTTTCCCTCCCTTTAGCCTCATATCACCAGTTTTACAGAAAATTTTACGGGAGAAAGTGGAAGTGATAATGATAGTTCCTCAATGGAGTGCTCAACCATGGTACTCCCAGTTAGCCAGGATGCTCATAGCGCAGCCTATATTGCTTCCACAGAGAGAGGGAACAATTTACCTGCCCTTCAATCCAGACAAACGTCATCCACTAGCAAGAAAGCTTCAACTAATGGCATGTCGGTTATCAGGGCAGCCTTGGAGGGTGAAGGAATTTCACAATCGGCTCAAGAACTCATCCTCAGCTCCTGGAGGCAAGGTACCCAAAAACAATATCAGACATACTGGAACAAATGGCAAAAGTTTAGTCGTGAACAATCTATTGATCCCGTTCACCCATCTGTGAACTATGTTTTGGATTTCTTATCCAAATTGTACAAAGATGGTTTAGGCTACTCTGGCATTAATACTGCTAGGTGTGCCCTATCTGCATTAATAACAATCGAGGGAAACATTACAGTGGGGAATCATCCTCTTGTTCAGAGACTTGTTAAAGGGGTGTTCCACACCAGACCATCCTTACCTCGTTATCAAGACACTTGGGATACCAACAAAGTATTATATTATTTGCAAAGTTTCCCTGAACTTCAGAGAATTAAACTACGTGATCTAACCTACAAATTAGTAATGCTATGTGCCCTAGTTACGGGGCAACGTTGTCAAACTTTACACCTCATGAGTTTGGACTCACTAGTAAAGAATTCATCCGCTTACCAGTTTGTTATAAACAAATTGGTAAAGCAATCTGCACCAGGCAAGAAGCAACCTGTTCTGGTTATACCAAAATTTCCTGAAGATCAAAGGTTATGTGTATATTCAGTTTTAGAAGAGTATCTTGCTCGTACAAAGGCATTGAGGTCACATTCGTCCACATAAGAAGGTCTCGAAAGACACTATTGGAAGATGGATAAAACATGTCATGAAGTGTGCCGGTATTGATACGGCAGTGTATCGCCCTCACAGCACTCGAGCTGCCTCGACAAGCAAAGCTAATCAATGCAACGTTGCAATCTCCAGCATAATGAATGCTGCCAGCTGGGCATCAGACTGTACTTTTCATAAATTTTATAACAAACAAGTTGGCGAAGGCCATGAAAACTGTGAGAATGACAGGTTTGGTCAAGCCATATTAATGGATGTCATTACTTAATGGTTATATTGTGTTAAAGTTGAATCCAAGAAATTTAACAGTTGTGTTGAGACTGTGATTACTACTCTGGGGTTTATTGCAACTTCGCGCCCCAATGCTTTAAAATCTCATGGAATCTCTGCGGTGGTAAGACTGATAGAATTAGAAAATTAAACGAGACTTACCTGGAAGTTGAAGTTTGATTAGGATTCTATCAGTCTACCACAGAGCAGAGATTACATGCCCGCCCTAAAACATGTACCTCCCTGCAATACTTACTTGCACTGTACAGGTATATTGGGGTGCTCGGTTAGTTTAAAATATGATCAGCTCAGCGCATGCGTGCTCTCTCATGTAATCTCTGCTCTGTGGTAGACTGATAGAATCCTAATCAAACTTCAACTTCCAGGTAAGTCTCGTTTAATTTTCTAATTTTACTTGCTAAATCAGGCCCAATATTTGAAAAATATTCATTGACGCCTTCCGCAATATCCTGTGGATTGTTTAAAGTACTTTCACCCACATTTAATTCGTTCACAACTGTTTGTTTGGTTTGTTTGCCTAGTAGGTTATTTATTGATTTCCAGGCTTTTGGTGGATTACATTTTTGACCTACAATTTTAGTGTTATAATAGTTTTGGTTGGCATTTCTTAATTCAATATTAATCTGATTTGTAGATGTTTTGTAATTTATCCAATCTATTTCTGATTTACTTATTGCTTTTCTTTTTAATTTGTCTCGATCTTTTATTAATGAGGTTTTTAATTTCACTTGTGATCCAAGGAACCTTGTTAGATCTAACCTTTTTTTGTTGCATTGGTGCATGCTTATCCAATACTTCAAGAAAAAGTTCCTTCCAAATTTCCCACATAGCATTTGGATCATCACCAAAAAATAGACATAATCCCAATGCTGATTTAAATAACATTTATGAACTTGTTTTCATCAAAATTTTTCATATTTCTTATTCAACACAGTTTTTTTCATTTCTTTGCATAACTCGGATTTTTCTGATTGCAAATAAATACTAAACTGTGATCGCTGATTCCGGTGTGAATAACACCAGAATGAGAAATTTTTTTCAGGAGTATTGTTACTAATATGGTCAATAAGGGTAGGGATAACAGTTTGATAGAGCTCGTGATTTAAAACATAATGGTGTTTGTTTCACCAAAATCGGTCAAGGCAATCAAAAGTTACGGCAATAATTTGAACATCAGAATTTTTGCCCAATTTTTGGAAGAGCGACACTGTATAAATGTATTACAGCTGGGTGTGAAATGTGGCAGCATATAAGGAAGTATTCTTGGCCCCCTTCTTTTTATCTTATTTATCAATGATCTCCCTTCTCAACTTTCACATTCAGAATCCACAATGTTTGCAGATGACACCACCGTTCTAACAGAAGGTTCTTCCATTCATGATTTAAATGTGAAACTTAACATTGTTGCTCAAGATCTCTCAACATGGACTCAACAAAACCGAATGGTGACTAATACATTGAAAACCAAGACCATGCTCATTCATTCTCCCCAACAACTTAAGAATACTTCCGACCGTTCTCTATCAGTTACTCTTAATGGCAACATACTTGCACAGGTGAAGCAAGCAAAAGTGTTGGGTTTAACGCTGGACGAGTTTTTAATTTGGACCAAGCATATTGACAACTTGTGTTCAACAATCAATAGTAGACTTGCTTTATTACACAGCATTAAACCCTTTTTAACTAAGGACTGTGCTCTTCGTTTCTATAACTCCTGTATTAATTCAAGTCTTATCTACTGCTCTGTAACTTGGGGAAACTGCTCAAAAACACTTTTACTTCGCATTCTTCGACTGCAAAAGTGTGCAGCACGTATTATTCTAGACGCTGACTTTTCTATTCCTTCTGTTCTTCTTTTTTCCCAGATTCGAATAATCCCAATTTTTGTTCTTGTTAAATTTAGGAAGCTTCTCTTACTAATTAACATTCTCACAAATCCCAGTGCTCCATCTTCATTTAAGCAAATGTTTAAATTCTTATCTTCTATTCGACAATGGGCTCTGACTAGAGCTTGCGCATATGACCTTCAACCCCCCTTCCCGCGTGACTCTGGTAAACGAACATTTCTGTACAGTGCTTCCATTCTTTTTAATTGCTTAGATAGCGATTGTAAGCAACTTGCTGCTTCGCCATCTTGCTCTTCATATACTAACGCCAAACAAAAAATTCGTAAAATCTTTCTTAACAAGCTTACCCTTACTAACCATATCGAAGATCTATTTTGTATAAATTGTAAATATTTACTAAATTGTAATTGTATTCATTACTAATTATTCTTTTCTCAAATGTAAATAGTCGTAATCCTTAATACTTTTTATGCCTGTAAATATCAAATAGTGCGAGGGCCGTATGTTAGATAACTTTTACGGTTAATACGTTTTCCCTCGTGAAATAAAGTTTCTATTCTATTCTATTCTATTCTATATAAGGTCATAACTTCTAGACATTTCATCCGATCACCACAATATTTTCAGAGTACATTTGTGACATACACAGCAACAACACAGTGTAACAGTTGGACACTTATCGTTGCCATGGAAACCGTATGACGTCATTGAACGACAAAGAAAAAACACAAAAACCGAAATTAGATCATTTATTACTTAAAAACCATTACAAAAGTGTTGTGTGACATGTTATACGTGAAACAAGTAATACTAGTTGATACAATGTTACAAAACTGTGTTACCATGGAAACACGATGACGTCATGACAACATCATAGCTATGAACAACATGCACATAAATACACATTTTTTCATCGCAAAATATTAATTTTTAAAAACTATTAAATGTGTGTCAGATAGCATTGCAAGCTCGACAATATGACAGACAACACCATTCAGTTACTATGGTAACCATGTGACATCATTTTTATATATAGTCTAATTGGAAAATTTTGCATATTTATACTCAAAATTTACTTACTAAAAATTAACTTATTGAAATATTTTGATGTTTCATTGTACACCCTGCATATCCTAAACACTGATAGTTACATAGACTTTTTCCGTGACAACGCTATAAATCCGATGACATGCCAATTACGTCACTGTTTGTTTTGGTGTAAATAGGTAATGGGACAAGTACTGGTGTGAGACATTGTGTAACCTAAATAATTATAGGACCAGTATTAAAATTTATTGTTATTTACTTCAACTTCAATAGTATGAACTGCATATACGTGATAAATTATGGCAATAACGATTATAGAAACTGAAGGAGGGGTGAATTGGTTAATTGGAAACGATAAGTCGAGAGATAAAGGAGAGAAAAGGAAAGGCAACCCTGTACGTGTTTCGACCTAACAGTCTTCTTCAGCACGGTTTTTTTAAGAGGGGTGTAGGTAGAATTTGTAGAGGAGAATGAAGGAGAGTTTAAGAGTTAGGATAACCAATGGCTCAGTAACAAAAATGAAGGGTGGAACGATAGTGAGAAAAAACTACTTCATGTTAAAAGAAAAGTTATCCTACCAAATGTCTTGTTATGGCGCGACATTCCAACACCACGCACCTTGCTGTTCATCTTTTGTTTAGTTTGAAAAAGCAGAGTAATAATATAGTCCTTTCTAATGTAGCTTACGCAACAGTATAGTGAGTATGAATGATGTGATGGTAGGGGTGGGGGTAGAATTTATATCATAGTGTGATCATGTGACTAAAGGTGATTGCATCTTAATATGGTGAAAGGAGCTAATTAGACAGGGATGGGGAGGTGTTGCAATAAGAGGTGATTAGTGAGGAATAATAAAATAAATAAATAATTACACCGTGCAGGGTTTGATCTTATGAAATTATGAGTATTCATTAACCAAAAAACTAAATATGTACATAAATAACAAAGCCAAACAAGGATGATAAATGAAATGATATTATATGTCCAATCATTATCTATAGTAGGTCTTAATTTGTCACATGGAGGAATCAAGTATCCATCATTATATTTACAAAGTATACTATTAAAACATGACAGGTATGTTCGTGTTACTTGTACAAGGAACCAATGGTCATATGAAAATAATTAGGGACTGGGAATAAGTTGGTGCATTAATCGCTGATCATAACTGAATAATTCTACATTGGACGCGTATGACACCTAAGGTATAAAATGCATGTGCATTTAACATGCATAGAGGATTAGATTAGGTAAAGGAATTATAACTATTGCTATTAGCCATCCAAACATATTAGGTACATGCATGTCCAAAAACATCAGGCTCTGTTTTAATAGTCCAACTGTCGGTAATTAAAAAGGTTGACCAACAATGCAGCAATGGCGAGTCTATTCGAGTGGTTTCATATAGTTGTTATCGTAGGAAATGCCACAGTCAAGTAATGGTATGAAAAATTGGCTATTGACATCAATGTTAATCATTTTCAAGTGCCAATCAGGATGATTAATTCTTTATAGTATGTGGACAACAATGTCTGCTTTATGGTTAGATATCAACAGCTGGTATTATAAGTTGTTGTACATTTAGTTTTCAAAACTCGGTGTTTCTATTGCTTTAATATGGCCAAATTATACAGTATTGCCACGACCAATGACGAAACTCCAAAATCTGTGTCTCACCATATCGAACCCGCTGTCATAGTGGTGTTAGTATGGCATTTAATTTCATTAGTGCTAATTATTTGATAGTTTGGAGTGCACTATGCAGTCCTTAATGTTATGGTTGCGTTTGTAGGAAACCAAAGGGGGTTCTGGCCATAGAAGCTTCAGTGTTGGGTCTTTATCAATGAGATGCCAGTGTTTACGCAAGATAGATCCTATATGAGTGGTGTTAGTGTTATAGGGCACAGAGAACGTTAGTATAGGTTTATTGCTATTAGGTTCATTATTTCGGCGCTGGTTAGTAGCGTTACCATCAATGCGAATAATATCATCATTCTCCCCAATTAGATTTGACTGAGTATATTGCAGAGCTTTATTAAAGGCATTATCAATTACATTGTTAGTATATCCTCTAGTAATTAGATTAACACGTAGGTCCTGAAGGTGTTCACTTAACCTGTTACGGTTAGTAATTAGTCGTACGTATGGCGCGTCATCGGTGTAAAAAATGTTATTCTATTTTAAGATAAGATTTTCATTTTCATATAACAATATAAATTTTGGATAACACACAATTGTTCATATAACGCTGTAAATTTGGGATAACACACGACTTTTCATATAACGCTGCAAATTTTGGATAACACACGACTTTTCATATAACGCTATAAATTTCGGATAACACACGACTTTTCATATAACGCTATAAATTTCGGATAACAAACGACTTTTCATATAACGCTATAAATTTCGGATAACAAACGACTTTTCATATAACTCTATAAATTTCGGATAACAAACGACTTTTCATATAACGCTGTAAATTTCGGATAACAAACGACTTTTCATATAACGCTGTAAATTTCGGATAACACACGACTTTTCATATAACGCTATAAATTTTGGATAACACACGACTTTTCATATAACGCTATAAATTTTGGATAACATGCACACGACTTTTCATATGACGCTATAAATTTTGGATAACACGATTTTTCAGATAACGCTATTGACGGGCAGATTATTACATTTTTGAGAAGGGGGGGGGGTCTGGGGTGGAAAAATTATTGGTCTACTCTCGGAAGGAAATTCGTTTTTTCTGCCTAGCAGCACAATTATTTTTTTCTAGTGAAGTATCTGTACATAGAATTTTTCTTATCTTGACAACTGCAACATTTTTTTGCATATTTAAATATTCGACAAGTATGCAATGACCGAGATAATATATTAAACTGTCTACAACCTCACGATTACGAGAGAGTAAACTCAGGTGGACAGTATGATATTAGAAGGTAGACAGAGTGACGAACGATACCATACGAAACATTGAGTGTAAAGAAATCTCTACTTGGCCTGAGTGAGATTAATTCAAACTGAAGATTATGATTCAGTTTCAAAATATCAAAACCCCTTGAAGTGCCACCTTTCAACGACATGGTCCCAACCTGACATGTACCTCAGTCAGTCGATAGAACATTGGACTAGTAAACCGAAGGACGTGGGTTATATCCCTATTGTTCGTCACACGGATTAGCTCCTAATGTCATGTATACAACTTTTTTATATCGACATAAAAGCAATGGAAATGTAGGGCCCCTTTTAAGGATGCGTAACTGTGGGGGGTGAGGAGGCTATTTCGCAGATGACCTGGAGAAGTTCCAGTCAGCAAGTCAGTATCACTGCATGCTGCTACCAGCATATATATGCATGGTTTAGTATACACCGTAACTAATATTCTGAGACCGGGTCGAGAACCGAAGATGCGATTTTAGATTTCTTGAAGCTCAGATAAGCTTAAGCTATTTCCACCATTTAGACTAGTGTTCCAACAAGAAATCAACTTAACAGTAACATAATTACTGCAATTTTACAGTCTCACAAATGTAATCCAGTAATGTAATCCTTTTTAAATTATATTTCAGTCCCCAAATTCCTATCGAGTCAACGGCTTGGTTGACTCATAGCTATTCAAGGGCGTAGGGGCACGAGGGGGACGTGCCCCCCATTTTTTCAAAGGACTAAAAGTGTCCTGTTTTTGTGATAAAAAGTGCCCTTTTTGTGCAAGCTAATGTCGTTGTAAATACTAAATTAACATCGAAGGTGCCCTTTTTCAGACCTGCCAGGGTTCCCGCATTTCGTGTGAAAGTTATTTTGTTCCCGCTGTCCCGTACAACTAGAATGATCTTAAAGTTACGCATTTTTACCATTATATGACGCTATCCCACTTTTCATCTTGACACAGATCAGTGCAAGTATAATGGTGATTTGAAAAACGTCAGAGCATAAATAGCTGATTTATATTCTTTATTATAATATAGTCATCCACCGTATATGAGCTGTTCTGCAATCTGATTGGTTGAATTACTCGCCGTATATCAGCTCATATACGGTGAGTAGCGAAAAACAAGATGGCGGTCCAAAAACTACATGAGTTTTGTGAAGCAGAAAAAGGAAAATATTCGCTTTGAAAAACATAATAGTACAAGGAAAACTCTCAAAAAGAAATTTGACAGGTTAGCAAAATACATTTATTACGTAGAAATTAGTTTAAATACAAGTTTTTTAAAGAATTAATACTGAAGCAACAGCGAAAAAACATGTTCATTGAGAATATAAATTGTTCAGAAAAGTTTGCAATGAACGACAAATGAATTTGCAGTCAACAAGCACTTACTATAGTACCAAACATCTGTATAATATATCTGAGCTTTCCTGTGAGATATAGAGGTTCTAAAACCATTTCTTTCACTTCGTTTTCGAGTTGTAAAACAAAAGTATTTCAAATTTTCAAGCGGTTTTTGGCCGAACAAATTGTCAACACATTGTAACAGTGAATAATTAATTACTGCTTCAGTTAATGGCTATATTAGACTATATTATAAAACAATTATACCATTCGCTCTCGTCGTATATGGCTATCAGCTCATATACGCCTCGAGCTCATGGTATAATTGTTAAATATCCAGTTTTTTGTAAGCTTTCCAATGATGCTAGTTATTTTTGTTGTAATTGAGCACAAAATTTCACATTTTTTTGCTGTAATACAATTTAATAGCCTATAGAGGATAATTACTGATCACCCATTTTCTCAGTGTTTGGCAAGTTTTTTGCTTGGGAACTTTTTGTGGTAATTGAGCATCTATGGTACTGTGCATTGAACCACAAAAAAATCTATTCCCAGGGGGTGTCATGAAATTGCTTTTCCAAGCACTTTTTCGCACAACGGCCCACAGCCTAATAATTTAATTGCTCTGAAGATGTTGTGAACAACACAACGAAAAGTTAGCCAATAAATTTAATATTTTTGCAATGTCTTGTATGAAAGTTATTTGCTGAGCTTTAAATTACGCTTGGCTCTAAACCCTGTATAATTTATTTTACCACTACTTGCTTACATGTGTTTTTAGCTATTTCTTAGCCCGGTTTGCCGGAATGAAATGAAAATATAAATAATTTATATGGCTCCAATGGTTCCAAGATGTAAGCACTTTTAAGGTCAATATCATAGAATAAGGTCCATATCATAGATCCATATAGAAAGGGCCACTTACGTCGGAAGCTTTGAAGTTTCCGTCCTCGCGCATGTCGCATTACGCATGTTGGCCGCCATTTTCCTAGGCAGTCAATGACATTTTCTGACCAATAAACACGCCGTACTGGCTGGCTGCTCCGCCTTCTGGCCAGTAAACTGCATATTTTTGCATAAAAAAAAACGCGGACACGTTGCACCACTGAGTGGCCCTTCTGTTACTGATCTTTATTCTGCGGTCTATGTAAGGATCCATAATATATGTAAGACAAAGTACTTACCGCGCAAGACGTTTAATTTGCGCGGGAAGCAAACATGTGATTGTCATCAGTCATGGCGCAGAGGGTAGAAGAGGGTAGAAATCGCTTGATTACTCGTTTGAGTACAGTTCTAAATAACATAAGACATCAGATTGAGTCACAAGAAATTGACAACGAACGACTTGACTATATATCACTTCAATTAGAACAAATTTGTCATCAAATGCAGCGTTTGGTAGCATGTGGTCTCTTGTCTCATGAAATCGTATTTGTGATAGAACGTGCCAAAGAACAACTCGATTTGTCCAAGAGAGAGAATGATCACAATTCTTATCAAGCGCCTTGTGAAAACAACAGAAGAAAAGGGCGTCCAAGATTTGTTATTTCGATGGAGCAACTACAGTACTTCATTGACAACGGCTTTACAGCCACCAACATGTCTACAATGTTAGGAGTCTCTAAGAGTACATTGCAGCGACGATTAAGAGAATTTAATCTGAGTGCAGCACCGAGATACACCGACTTGTCGAACAACGATCTAGACAATTTGGTTTCCGAGGTGCAAACAGAATTCCCTAATGCAGGATATCGACGTATAGTCGATATCGGTCAATTAAGGCAGAGAGGAATACTTGTCCAACAACACAGGTTACGAGAATCTGTTCAAAGAACTGATCCAGATGGGGCAGCATTGAGATGGTTTGACGCTATAAAAAGGAGAACGTATACTGTTGCTGGTCCATTATGTTTATGGCACATCGACGGAAATCATAAACTCATAAGGTATATAATATTATATATTAGCACATTTGATAAACATTACTCTTTTTTCCTACGAAAAGTATCCAATTCGTAAATTTCAAAAATCCTCTAATTCACATATTATATTCTACTATGTTAAAGGTGGCGCATGGTTATCCATGGGGGAATAGATGGTTTTACTCGTATTCCGGTTTTTTAAAATGCAACGACAACAATAGAGCAGATACGGTTTGCTCATTGTTCCAGGATGCTGTACATACGTATGGCTTACCGTCCAGAGTTAGATGTGATGCAGGTGGTGAAAATTATGATGTAGCTATGTGGATGCTGGAACATCCTTTGCGTGGTCCTAACAGAGGAAGTGTAATTGTTGGTAAGAGTGTGCATAACCAAAGGATTGAAAGGCTTTGGAGGGACGTCTTTCAAGGGGTTACTTACCTCTACTATGATCTGTTTTACCATCTTGAAAATCAAGGGTATCTAAATCCAGATCTTGATGTAGATATCTTTTCTCTCCATTTTGTGTTTATTCCAAGAATAAACAGGCATCTCCAATCTTGGAAAAGTGGATGGGTAAACCACTGGTTAAGAACGGAGGGTAACAGAACCCCAAATCAACTATTCATCATGGGCCTTATGCAGATAGCAAATAGTGATTACACAGTTGCAAGAGAAGTGCGAGAGCCTTTAACTGAGGTAAATACTTAATTAATGTTTAGATTGTTTATACATTTTAAATTGTTGTATGATGCATTGATTTGACCAGTATTGTATTATAAAGCAATTACAACTTTTATGAGTGTCAGCTCCATGTTAGTTGCAGTGATTTCAAGCAATGTTTCTGTCAATATCACATGATTCATGACTGTTAAATTCAAATATTCACCAGATATGACACACAGTATGCAATACGCTTAGACTTAAGTCCCGTTTACACTACGCTCAATTTTTGGTATGGCACAGATAAAATTGGTACCCGTACCACTTTTTTGGTTCTTGGACTACCAAAAAAGTGGTACAGGTACCAATTTTATCCGTGCCGTACCAAAAATTGAGCGTAGTGTAAACGGGACTTTGAGCCGGTTTTCCACTTCGCCCGTATCGTAGCGAAATGTACTGGTGAGCATGCGCAGATTGAAAAGTGGTTTATAAAACCACATATTTCCGGTTGTATCCGCGTATCAAAATAAAAAGTTCGTCGCAAGTCAACTTTTTGGCGTACTACGTTTTTGATACGTTACGGTACGCTTGAAGTGGAAAACGGCCTTTAGAGTCTTCATAACTGGTTATACAAGTGCGGCAAACATATTTAGCATGTATTTTGTCATGACACACACAAGTCATCAACCTCACAAGACAGGCTTTTTATCCCACGTTATTGTTTAAGGATTCTTTTTGTTTTTAAGATAATTTAATTTTATATTAATTTATGGAAGTTTTTGTTAAGTTGTGATTAAGAGATGACAATTTTTTATTTATTTATAGTTTTTACGCATAGAGTGAGGGTATGCAGAACACCATCTCCAACAGAACACAATACCGGATAGGCCCTGGTTGAAGCTGATAAGATAGGTGGTATTCCAATTGTAGCCCACTTGTCTAGCTTGGAGGAAGCTATGGCCAATGAATAATATATGTCACTTTTAAAACCTTTAGGTCCCTTGCCACTTCATCCCTTTTGAATTTAAATACCATCCACATTTTATGGATCACATGACCAGCTTCAACTAGGGTCTTTGCCACATAATGTTTGGATATGAGTGCATGCTAAAAGCTTGCAAGGTTTGGAATATATATGAAACTACCATTAATAATTCTATATTCTAATGACGTCAGCAATTGACATAAAACGCTATAGAACACGCGCATTGGCGTGATATGGCGCAAGCAACCGCTCACGCCAAGTCATTTTGGAAGTTCTTTCATTTTGTTAATCAGTTTCCGCGACCTGCGCGTAAAAATGGTCACCCTGTTTTGAGTTCGCGATTCTTGCATGAGCATGGTTTTAGTGATAACTATATCGAGCCACCTTAAGGTGAAATATAGTGCTGCGTTGAGAAGGTTGATTGATATAGATGGGTAGGAGTCAACCAGATCAAAAGCAATGAATAATATTGAACCATGTTAACACAGATGTGGTGTTTTTCCACTGGTTGACTCCAATACTTGCAATTACTTTTTAGCACCCCCCCCCCCGACAACGCTTATTGTATTTTTAGGTATTACATGTAAATATGTCAATCATTGTTAATTATTGCAAAATGCAAAGTGGGCGGAAAGCATTTTTGACAACATTTTCATCAGACATACGTTTCTCACTTTGTCCACCCATGAATTTCAGGGTGGGGTGAAATGTAGGTCTGTTTTCAGGCTATATTCTGACTTGCTGATTGCTGCTATAAATTACGAACTGAAATCAGTCTAAAAGTACTAAATATTTGCCAGAAAAAATTAAAACAAACCTAGAATTGTTATTTGTTTGTCATTGAAAACATGATCTTTGTCCGGCTTTCAGTCAAAATTAATAGTGTAACAAGAGTTGATTGGCTTCTTTGTTTTTGCAAACTTACTTTCGAAGTTGAAAAGGATTATTTTCATCAGTTGTTCAAAGTTTAACTTTAGCATCACTTACAGTTCCATAATATATGTCATCGCAAGTTGATTGTTTCTCACACAAAACATAAGCAGCAATAGGACAAACTTTTTATAGCTATTTGGACTGCTAAGACTTCGTTTTCTTTGCCAATTTCTAAGTTTTATACTACCAAGTTTGCATGAAAGTTGAAGAAATGGGGAAACAACAAAATGCGGACCCCAGGTCCATGGACTACCTTCATGGACCTGGTCCATGGATTACACTTGTGTACCACGGACCACTCGTGTACCACGGACCACTCTCGTGGACCACTTGCGAAATTTCGCCTACCGAACAATAGACCAAGCACTATTAACCCGAGTTTAGGAAGCCGAGATTGGCGGGAACTATTTCATTATTCATTATTTATTTCACAATCAATTCAGTTTTTGTTGATGAACAGTGAGTACTAAGTCTGTAAAAGTGCTGAAAAAATGTAGTCAGGGTTCATCAAAAAATATAGGAATACTGTGGAGAATCTGGGGGGGGTGGTCAAAGGATTTTACTGAATTATTCAAATTTTACTATTAAAAAATCACTTGAACTGTCGAAGTCGTACGTTGCAATGACCTTTCAGTGCCTGAAGGTCCTCTCCCAAAAATATTAATTTTTGAAGCTCCATTATTGCTTTTCTTGCATTTTCTGTAGCGATAAAGAAAAACTACCAATTTTAAGAGCATATATTTGGAAACTTTGCACTAAAGTCGTAATTGTACACTTATATTTAGAACGGTCATATAGTGAATGGATTTAGAACTTCACATTTTGTGTAGAGTTTCCACAATGATAATAATGACTGAACTCGATTTGAGCACATTTTTCCATGCAGTCAAAAATTCAAACCCCCAAAATCTGGTGTCTCCCAAGTGGTCCACGAAAGTGGTCCGTGGTCCACAAAGGTAGTCCATGGACCAGGTCCACGAAGGTAGTCCACGGACCTGGGGTCCGTGTTTTGTCGTTTCCCGAAGAAATGACCTTTTCGAATTTTATAAGTTTATTTAACAAAGACAATGAAAGAGTCCTAGGTAAATACAATGAATAGAAATTATAACTATACACGTACTGTACGCTGTACTACATAAAAGAATAGTATAAATACAAAGTAAGAAAGACTTACAATAATACAGAAATATGACTTGAAATTAGCGTATATTAAGAACGAACAACATCTGATAAACTCATAAAGATAAATCTAAAACCAATGTCAAGAAGAGAGCAAGTCAGTGGTTATACTAAATAGACCTACATAAGTACAGCTAGGTCTGGTGATTATGGTGTCAGCTGACTTGGCATCAGATATAGTGACTTTGATTTACAAAACAGTGTGGTTTTCGGAGATGTGTACCCCCTATAACAGACCCCCAATTGATATCACACTACTGTTTTGAGTAAATTTGCTGATATTTTTCATGCTAAACATGCTAGGAAAGCTATAAAGAAATTATTTAATAATAATTTTAATATTGGTGAAGTAAAATGTGGGATATGTTCACTGTTTTTAAATGCAATATTTTGTGTACATATTGTACTTGTAGTTAATGGATAAGTGCATGTATGCTGTATTTAAATGTAATAATCGCACAAATATTTCACTTACAAGTGATTCACTTACCGGCATCACACTGCTCCCACTGATTGGACCAATCATATTTTGTTGGTCTTTGTAAGCCACATGCTTAGCAGTGTTCTGATGTGGAAGAATTTGCTCAAACCTTTGGTTTAACTGTAAGTAAAAACCTGCTAAGTTAATTTTGGTATCAAAAATAATGTTTACTAAGTTAAACATATACAAGTAAAATTAATAATACTAGGTATGTAGTGTACCTCTTTTGGTATGGAAAGTGATTTGCTGCAAAATTCAAGCATTACAATTCAACCGGTTTCAACAAACGCCGATCAAAATCAACCACCTTTTTATAATACATTCAACAAACCGATTCAACATCAACATTAATTATTGTTATACAGTACACAATTTTATTTTGAATTGAACCTAAACAAGGACACAACTCACAAGTGGACGATTTAGCTGTCCTTACATGTTTGACTGCAAATCAAATCAACAGGATCTGAAATTTAAATGTTTTTGTGCCGTATCCAACTGGAATACCATGATTCAAAGTTTTGGCACTGTCTGAGAATCCAGTATCCCACTTCTGGATACAATAAGTTTCCTTATTACAATAACAGGAGACTCAACAGTCAACAACTAGACAATTCATTAATGCACCAGAATGCACATATAATCCTTCAACAAACTTCTATAATGCTAGTCCTCAATGAGGAAAGGATGTTGTTGAACCTTAGTGTCCAAAAGCTATCAGGAGACTACCAGACTGATCAGAGGTGCTTAATATTTTCCTAATGTATCCAATCAGGCTACAAGTCATTCACAGTTTGGCATCTAAAACCAAATTTTAGTATACCATGGATATCAGGATACTGCAAATTTCACTTACTTCATATCCTGATCAAAACACTAAGTAAATCGTCCCGATTTTAGTAACAATGGAAAATTATCAGTAGCTTTATAATTTTTTCTATAATCAAACTTATGCTTAGCTTCCTAACATACTCTGAAAAAAGTGGTGAGACACCACTGTCATCACTTGTCAGTTTTTCTGGTTCAGGATTACAAATTTCACTAAGATAGTCAGCTGCCGAGTCTAGACTATCATAGATCATTACTGCATGAGTTATATTACTTTGCTTTGCACTGGGAAACAGTGCAGCAAGGGAGGTAATTTTGGTATCAATAGATTGGTCACCAGAAGATGTGCTGGGTTACCAGATGATGTGCGTAGGAAACACGCAGGATTTGAAATAGGAGGCGGCAACAATATAAATATGTGACAAGGGATGAAACTCTTTTGAAGTTTATCGTATTATGAATGCCCCAACTTGAGTGGACTGATAATTATGCAATGAGTGTTGTTTCAAATGAACACCGTCAACCTTTAGAAATCAATGATATAAACAAGAAACTTTTTTCACTTTGTAGTGGTTGAGAATGTTTGATGCTTTTTTATTTCCAAAATCATTCAATAAAGGATAATAAAGGTTTGTTCAATTT